ACGCACTTGAAAAATATTAAAACTTTCGAACACATAAAGTAAATTTAATCTAAAAATTTAAAAATTTAACACCATTTTCTGGATTTAAAGGAAATTTGCTTGAAGCCTCCATGTAAGCCGCTTATCCACAGCATTAAAATGTAATAGAAGCAGAAAAAAGTTATTCTTAAACCGTTTGATAGAGTTAAACCCCCTTTAAAAAATTAAGCTTAAGCCACTGTGACTTTTGTCGGATGGCTCTGTGGGATCATCAGTCCACCATCCATCTAATATCCAAACCTTTTCGCTTGGATGGGCTCAGTGGGACTGACCTATTAAACTTAAAAAGTCACTAAACATTAAATGTGTATTTAAACTAAATTAACATCTTATTATAGAGTTATTTTTTAAAAAGATTTTAGACGATAATAGCAACAACAAACAAATACATTGGTTTTATACGTTTTTTCCCAAAAAAAGGTCTTGTTGTCCTGAAAAATTGTAAGCGATCGACTTTTTGTAAGTACAGCTAATTTTTGTTAATTGTTACACAGTACATTCTCAAAATAACGACTTTTTCCACTTACATCTAGGCATTTAGTGTACACATTTGATATATGAAAGTATTTTGAAGATATATCTAGCTATTAATCGTACTTAAATCAATTGCTACATGTCCACCCTTAAACGATAGTTTCCGCTAAGTCACTATCGTCCACCACTAGCTGTCATTCGGCGACGCGACGGCCAGAATTCAACGTGCTTATTTTCCGCTCGGGATTTTACAAGAGAAAACTAATCGAAATGGGCGTACAAGTAGTTCCAATTGCTCCTGGTGATGGTGAGTACAATGCTAGAAATAGGAATTCACCCAAAAGATCCGAGGAATGCCGGCAATTTACTCTGTAACCTAAGCATTGCATTTTCGCGGTGCACAAGTCGGAAAATTACCCGCAACAATATAGTCGTCCCGCTCACACACATCCATTTTTGTAATCCCTGCAGGCAGCACCTTCCCGAAGAATGGGCAAAAGGTCACGGTCCACTACACCGGCACCCTGGACGATGGCACCAAGGTAGGTTCTACTTCGAGTCATAGAATCCCCCAGCTAACCGATAGCTCATTTTTATCGCCCAGTTCGATTCGTCGCGCGACCGCAACAAGCCCTTCAAGTTTACCATTGGCAAGGGCGAGGTCATCCGCGGCTGGGACGAGGGAGTCGCCCAGTTGAGCGTCGGCCAGCGCGCCAAGCTGATCTGCTCGCCGGACTACGCCTACGGCAGTCGCGGACACCCCGGTGTCATCCCGCCCAACTCCACCCTCACCTTCGACGTGGAGCTGCTCAAGGTCGAATAAGCGAGGAGGCCGCCTGTTGTGTATACCCCCAAAAGTGGCGGGGTTGCGGACCGGCGCACGGACGCCGAGCCGAAGAACACCAAAATCGGAACCAGAACAATCCAGCAGCATTTGCCAACCCAAAAAAAGATAACTCAAATCCAAGCTCTAAACTAGAACTAATTTAACCGCAATGGGAACGCATCTTCTACGCATACAAATAAACATTTATTCAAGTCAATGACAACAGATCGTGTTCGCCAATCATTCTGCAATTATCCTTTAGGGCTCTTGGAAACTTTTGGTACTAATCCTTCCATTCGGGTCTTATGCCGAATTTGCATTTTTAAAAATATAATATTATAAACCTTGTGTCTAAAATTTTCATTTCGATTAAATTAATATTCGAATTTATTTTGGTATGTTTTTTTTAGATGATACATATGGTGGATTTTTATTAAAACTAATTTCAAAACTACACAAAATATATAGTTTTTTCTTTCAAAATACTTTTGTATATGTACTTCCAGAAAGCAAATTGTTCCTAAATGCAGCATAGGTCTTGTTATAAGAAAGAGATTTTTGGAACATCTAAAAACATTTTAAAAAAACCTTGGAAAAATCCATAGTTTGAAAATAAAATTTTATTTTATATATAAAATGGAAAATCATATTAGAAATAAACAATTATTCAAGTCAATGGTGACAGGATCAAGCCTTATGATGATCCTTCCTAGATTCCTCTTGTAATAATCTGTCCTGTTCGTTTTGCGTTCCCCATTTCCCAACCAGATTCCTATGAATGCCTTTTCAGTTCTTGCAGACCACGTCCATAATCTGATCAATAACTTCAAAGCGCTCTTGCTCGTATGTCTGGGCATGCTTTAGCCAATGGCCGCGCACCTTCTTCCAGCGGGCCACATTGGAGGCCAGCAGATCGGCGGCACTAGCTCCCTCCAGAGCCTTCTCCCGCTTCTTGTCCTCCTGACCGAACTCCAGACGGGGCGGGATGATGGGCAGATCCGTGGACTTTGGCTGCGGCAACTGGGTGAGCACCTTAATCTCGCCACTGCGCAGTCTAGACAGGATTTCCTCACCGTTGTCCTCGCGTTTGGCGGCGGCCAAAGATCCATCCGTCTGAAAAGCGGCTACGGCGGGATTCCTGGGCTGATTGGCCATCCAGGCTCGACAAATCGGGTACAAGGGAGTTCCATCCTGGTACTTGGAGAGGTCCAAACTCCTTTCGAAAAGGCGCATCACATAGGACTCACCGGGAGCCTTCTGGGCGACTCCACCGCTGCCCGCGTTCTTCTTATAGAGCATTCTCCTGGCCTTGATGCGTCCTCCACTTCCGCCAATGACGATTCCCATAGCGGAGGTCGAAGCTGTGGCGGTGGCTCCAGCCGAGACCGCCTTTATCTCCGGCTCCAACTTTACCTGGTACTGGCGCTGCTGTTGCTGCTGGAGCAGCAACTTCTTCGAGGGACGACCCCGAATGGGCAGATCCGAATCCGCATCGTCGTCCGGCGGTTGGTAGCTCGTCTCCGACTTTTGCTCCTCTCGGCGTGACTCCCTCAAGCGCAAGGACATCTCCTTCTTCTTTGGTGTGGTCTTCATCTCTGCTGATCCCTACTTTTTGTGCAAAATTGAGGAAAAACAATTTCGAATGTCAAACTCGGAAATCAAACTGGATGGCAGTGCTATACAGCACTAAAACGCGAATCTGTTGTACAACACTGTGGAGTTCCGTCACGACAAAAAAAATACCTCTTAACTAAAAATACTAAAACGTAAAGCGCGTTATATTGTGAATTTGAATTTTGAACAAACATTTTTAAATTACCCGAACCTTCTGTTATTTTATTGGATAATGTGTATGCCTTTGCTTTTACACAATATGAATTTGATTTTGTAAAGCTTAATAGCTATTGATAAATTATTTCAATATATTTTGCTTACTTAAGGCATTTTGTGCATACAAAAATATGTAAATTATCCGGAATACAGAACGTAATAATAAATTTTAATAAAAGTATGTGAAAAAATTAAAAGCATTTTAAATTTTTTTTGGAAATGTTAGATTTTGGTATATTGGTAAAGTAATATTTTAATACTATTGTAATATTTACCAACAACCTTTTTGGTAAATTGATCCTCTTCAACTCTGGCCACACTGCTGTATTGTGATCGCGATCGAAAGACGTGAGAAAATTCGTATAATTAAGTTTAGTGCGACAAATAAATTTAATAAGCAACTTGAAACAAAGCCGAACTTTTAAGTTGATAGTTTGTTGAGTTCTGAGTGCGTGAGATAAGCGAAACGGAAACACGCCATCGAAAAAACCGAGCCAGAAAAGTGAATAAAGCGACTGAGTGAACGCACCAAAATATCGAAATCACAATATTGAATGCCAAAAAAACAAACAAAAGGTCGCGGGCAACAAAGAAAAGTCAGCGAACGTACGTGGAGTTTTAATTATTTGGTGAGTGCAATGGAAGGAAAAAGGATGCAAATTGCGAATCTCTGAATTTTGCTTCTCCTGCTGACACACACATACCACTCATGCGATTTGCACAAGTGTGGGTGGCTCTGCTCAGAGTGCAAATAACAAAATGTGAAAAATAACCCACACACACACACGAAGATCGTTGTGAGATAGTGCAACAAATAAAAGCAATAAATAAACACATTTAGACACAGGCAACAAGTTGTGAATTCGTTTTCCAAGGGGGAGACGTCTCCAAAGTTTCCCAATAGTTGGCTTTTCGAATCGATCTCGTTTTTTTATCTACTATTGCGTAGCTGCCAATGTCACCTGTTTTATGCGCTCTCCCTCCCTCTCTCTCGCTCACACACTGGACGTAGCTGGTTTTTATCTTGTGCCGTTAACACAGCCACTACGTGTCCCTTTCGCACTCGCGCACAGCATATGGCCGTGTTTGTGAAAGTGTGCAAGACAGCACGTAACTGTATGTTACCCTATACGTATACGTATTTCCGCCTGTTGATAACAGCTAAAACTCCCTCGAAATGGCCTTAATTCTTTTCGAAATATGTAAACGAATCGTTAGGGTACATCCCCCTCCCACTACCCTCTTCTCCTCTCCCCGCCCATTCGCCCACACTTCTTATCACAAAGTGCAAATATTGATTTTCTGTGTATGATTTGAGATTTTCTACCGCTATCAATAACAATTAAGCGGTTTATGTTTGTTGTTAATTCGGTTAAGTTTTCGTATTGAGAAAACAAGTTCACAAAATTCATACACTTGTGCGTTACAGAAAAAACATATTTTTAATAAATGTATAATTTAGACCTAATGTCAGATGAACAAATTTTAATTAGAAAAATGCTAATACTAAATACTTTGAAAATTCATTGCTGAGCACAAGGACTTGAACCCTGAATACAGTACGATCTATGTACCTACCCTATTACAATCGATTTAAATATATTCTCAAATCAAAAGACTATAAAAACATCGTTTAAATTTAAAATCGACCTTATATTTCTGCGTGCATATTTCAGTTTCTGTTCCGTTTTGCGCCTTTGTTTATGTGGCAATTTTGTTGTAATTGCGGGAATTTCCCGGCATTTGCACAATTGAGAGTGCAAAAATAAAGCCGAGAGAGCAAGCATCATCCGTTTACTAGTGTTATCTCTATATACTTATTTTATTTTTAACAGTAGACTCTCCCTTGGGATAACAATTAACTTTGAGGCATAAAGACATTGTACACAATCTAAAATTAACCCGTACTCTTCGAACATTAATTTTTCCAAATTCTTTATTACTAGATACTTAATTACTTTTAGTTAGAGCACTTACACTAACTTGAATTTTTTTTAATTGCTTTTATGATTGATGTCTGATATCTGGTATTATAATTTTACTCAAATATTTCAACGCAATGAATAATACATTTCCGAATCACAATTTTTATTTTATTAAAATCTGCTATTAATTTTTGTAAGCGTAGTTCACGACGATAGTCTAAACGGCTGAATAAAATGACTAGTGGGTTGATGCAAGTCTCGGATATACATATGTACTTTGATATTATTATTATTTCCTTTACTTTATGAGTACCTTTTTGAAATATCATGCTGACATGTTAGAGATTAAACGCTTTTCTGATTTAATGTTTATTCTCTCCCTGAAGGTTTGATCTGGAATAAATAATTGATGAATGACGACTGTATCTGTACAGTAGATACTCGCGCCCCCAACAATTATTTTTCCATCAATTTTAATACGTATGTATGTATATGTAACTTATCGCGTTCCACCATGAAACTGTGTTCATTTTTGGAAGGGGTCTACTCGTGTGAAATATGTATATGTGTATGTTCACTGTTGCGAGGAGACACAAATGTCGCGATAAGGCGGGCTTCCCCCCCGCAAAACCCCACCTCACCTGTTTGGATTTGGACACTGCCTAAATATAACTTTACTTTGATTATTTGCCCATTATTAAATCGAAAAGAGCGGCGGCCAGAGGGCCGATAATAAATAAATAAATAAACCTAGTACTCATACTCTTAATAGAATAGTGGGCGCAGGAGGTAGGCGAAGAGATCCACGTTGACTTTCTATTCCCGAACCCATCCCAAGTTCCATATCCCCTCCGATTCCGATTGCGATTCCCATGCCCATATTCCAATCTCGAAATCGGCAATGACGTCAAGGCCTGACGTCTGCAGAAAATTCCGCAAAACGCCTCTTCAAATTATTGGCGAGGCAAGAAAAGCAAAAGGAAATCGCCGAGCACCAAAATACAAATAAGAAATACAAAAAAATATTATTTTCGTTCCATTTTTCGTCTTTTGGTATTTTGTGTGCTGCTTCCATTTCATTTCATGTCTTTGCATTTGATTTATAATTTTCACAATTCACATACTTTTCGTTCCTCTCTCTTTCTTTTCATTTAATTTCCAAATCGTTTTGTTGTTTCAACGCAAAGTGAAAGTTGTTTTCCATGTTATTTACTGAAGACTCTTTTTGGGTTTTATCTTATTTTGCTAGTTCTTAATGTCCATATGTTTTGTGTTTCAAAACCAAGTTGAAGGCGCGGGAAGGATGCCTTTAGTACGTAGTTCCTTTCACAAACTTATTTTTGTATACAAAAATATTTTTGGCAATTTTTTGTTATTTATATATATTTATTTTTTGACATGCCAGACAGCGAGATTTCCGGTCAATATGCATCGATACCTCAAAGACTTTGAGGGCGCCCGGTTTCCATTCAACTGACGGAATGGTAAATCCCCAAGTCAAGCGAAGATTTTATCGGGCTTATGAGATTGATAGTCAAAAAGATTAAAAATTTGTTTGACTTTAAATTCGACTGGATTGGGAAAACACAAATAGCCTTCGTTCGAGATTAAATTAATTCAAATTTATTTTTTTGTTCATAATAGTGTAGAGTGCCGTCGAACATACCGAACAATCCATATTTGATGGCTTTCTTCGCTAAAAAATAATATATTTAAAATTATAAATTTGTATAATATATATATATATAAACTTTAAACTTTTATTAACTACATTTATAATGCGGATTATCTGTGTGATCGAATTTGGATTGTTCTCAGATGTATGAATATAAATATGTCGAAAATGCATAGGAAATTCCCAAAAGACAATTTCATGTAAATGAGCCCCACAACACGCGCTCACATCGCTCCCCATTTTTCCGCCTCCCACCACTATTTTTACAAAGGCATTTTAATGAATGGAAATTTTGCTCAAATAATTACAAGAGTTTCCCCTGCAGCAAATTCTTACTACCTCACAATCCAAAATATCTACACAATCGTGGGCTGCCATAATTTTAATGACTTTGTAAACTTTTTTGGTTGTTTTTTTTTTTTACTTTTGTATGTTTTGGCACACAGTAAGAACTTTTATTTGTTTTTTTCTTATTATTATTGCTCTTAGCAGGTTTTTTGTTTGTTTTGCGTGTCCTCGAAAAAAAACACAAAAAATAAAATACGATCTATAGAAAAAGACAAATGATCTTTTACCTGTGGAATTAGTATATTATTGAAACAGTGCGTAGCAAAAATATAAGTATCAAATTTTAGAAACAGAAATGCGGAAGTCAATAGTGGGTTTGTTTTAAAAAAATAATATAGTTTTTTATTTAAGTTGTTATATTCGTTGTTGGAAAACAATAAATAACTTGTTTATCTAATGTATTTGCGAAACAGATAATGATCTTCGTTGTTTCTGCTTCTCGTAACCAATTAAAAGTTTTGTTATAATTTAGATTTAAACATTCCCCACTAAAAAATGATAACATTTTTCTTTGAGCAATTGCGATTTTTAAAAAATGCAACCAAATTGCTCTGCACCTAAGCGTTTGTATACCAACTTATGAATTATTTTTTATACCTGAGAACCACCTCCAGATAGTCTACCTTTTAGAAACGTAACGCAGTGTACTTATGTGTTTGCATATGAACAAACCATATGTATCCATAGCACTATCATTCCACACGAGTACTCTCAATTTCTTATATGTGTATACTAGTGGCTGCGAAATATTTGACGTCGATTTCCGATTTTCTGCCTTGTGCATTCAGAGCTTTCAGTCTGTATGGGTGTATCTCTATCGCGTCTATCTGCCCTGCATATATCTGGCTAATTGTGAAGGTCGTTTACGTCTGCAGTCGATCGCCCCATTTTTGTTGTTGTTTGTCTGCCACCCGCTATAAGGCAAAAAAAAAGTGTGGGGGGAAAAAAAGTCAGACGAAGCTGGCAAACAAAACGAAGCAATCGAAAGAAAACACAAAATGAATTTTCATTGCCTCCCATCAACCCTCTGTCTGCCCCTCCCCTCAATTTGATCTCTTTTCCTTAAGAAATTCCTACCAAAAAAAAAAGGAGAACTTGTTTATATTTATACGCTAAATATTTTCAAATATCAGATCGCAATTTACGTGTTCCGCTCATCCGCCTATAAGTACCCCACAGAATGATGGTGGATTTTTATGGAACAACGAGAAAACCAAAAGACAAGAAGAATTGTTTTCATAATTTTGTGGGGTTTATCTTTAATGGCTTCTTAATGTGCCAGGCAACTTAAAAATGTTGTTATCACAGGCGAATAAATTCGTTTGCTTTGGTTTTAAAATAAATACCAACTGGAAAGTGGGAAATATAAATAAAGTTATAATTTATTATTTAGGTTTTGCTGTCCAATTTTAAAGGCGCCACCGCTGCGAATTTTGTGGTTTATATTTTTAATGAGTTATACATTTTTTCTATAGATTTTGTGTCTCTGACATGGTTTGGATTCGGTTTGTTATTTGTTTTTATTTATTGTGCCAGAAATAAGTGGAGCTGCGAGGGCGGTTCTAATACTTCGCTAAGCCATTGGCTAATTTAAACGATTTTCATTTTGTCGCTGATGGACAGCAATTAAATGTTTATCCCCCTTGATGGGTTTTCGTTTTTTTATTACTAATTTCCTTCGTCTTTAACTCTTTCACCTTAGCTAGCATATCATTAATTTGTTGCCTATAATTCCTTTTTTTTAGATTGTTTTTGTATGGACGAGGCTTTGTTGTTGCTGCGTTTTTTTTTTTAAATATTTCATTCAATTTTCGTAGCTTTGCAGTGTTAGTGTGAAACACCCACACAAAAATTTATTTTTATACAAGAGAGGCAAAGAGAAAGAGCAACATTTCTTCAACAGAATGGTATTGGTGTGGCAAAAATATTTAATGATTTAATTGATTCGTTACGGGCTCTTTTATTTTCCTTGCAATTATTCTGATAATCCCACCGTAACAAATTGTATTTGTTCCACGGTGCGTATGTGTGATATTTACCATTTTCATGTGCATTAGTTCGAATTTCAATAATTTTTTTTGGGAATAAATATCTATCTTTTGTTTATGCTCTCTCAAACCTTTCCCCACACACAAGCATAAATATATATTCCCTATTCTCATGATCAGTTCAAGATCTTTAGGCTTTTCATTCTCGCAAATGCCTGATATTTGTTTTTCAGTTCATCGCTGGCATTTAAAGCGTTCAAACGCGTTCAAAGCAAATAATAATATTGTGAAATATTCGAAATTATTCGCTGCGCGAGAACTGCGTGAGATTTTTGCAATTAACGAAATAAAATCATAAAAAATAAAATAATTTATCTTTTGTGCTAAACAAGACAAAAAAAAAAAAACAAAACAATTGATTAAGACCAGAAAAAAACGATGAACTTGATATTTATGCATTATATTGAAAAACTACCAAATTTTGGGGAATAAAAATAACATTTACTTAAATGAACAGAAATGAAAAAGTGTTTTTGTGATTGTGAAACGAATAAATCTAAATATCGCAAAAATTAGCATAAATATATTTCTAAAAATCGACCAAAAAACATATAGAGAAATCTCTTTTTAGTAGAGACACTATAGATTCTTACTTAAGATCGTTTTTCAACATTAAAAAAATGTAAGTTCGAATTTATTTAAATCATTTAGCGACGCTAAACAAATGTTACACTTTTAAAAGTAATATTTATTTGTTGACGGCTAACAAACTTTTAAAACAGTTAATACTAATCAGTTAAAATAATTAAAATTTTTTACGCACCTTTTTAAATTGCATAAAGTTTTTTAATAGTCTAGGTACGTATAAATGTATTGGTAGATTATGTATAGTATCATTGCAATACGGCGCCAGTGGTTTATCTATTTCAACCATTGATTGTGTTTACTATATAACGCAGCTGATTATTTATCTTCGCCATCCTTGACAATGGCCGAATCCGTTGGTCAGTCAAAGCGAGATATAGACAATATGGCACGGCTAGGGTGTGTCATAAATATTTTTAAATATCCCATGTCATTTCGGTAGAGAAATCTCACCGCCTCTGCTTATCCGCAGCTTTTTATTATTTCGAAAAAAAAAATAATATTATAAATGAAATAGAAAAGATGCTCTTAACTTGCTTAGTTAGTGTTCTAAATCGGGCAGTGGGGTAACCGTGAGTGGGTGAACCAAAAAATCGATTTGTTTTCCTCCCCCCCCCCCGTCCCCAGTAATTAAATTAGAGACAAGCACCTGACTAATGTCTGTTTATGCATTTCCCCAGGTCTCCAGCTGTGACAGATGATGGCCTAAAATGGCGGCTACACCACCAATGCCGCCCGGATCAAGCACCCACCAATTGAATGGCAAACCGATCGGCAAGGGCAATCCCCTAACCGAGGCGATCAATCAGCACTTTCTGCGAAAGAGCCAGAACCAGAATCAGCATCCGCATCAGAATCAGAACCAGAATCCAAACCCAAACCAAAACCCGAACCCGAACACAAACAGTCCCGCCAGTCGCAGCGGGAGCAATGAGCAGCTGGAGCTGCTGGAGCACCCAACGCATCCACAGCAAGAAGCCACCAGTGGCAAGGCCAAGCCGAGTTGTCATTGCACCAACATTAGTATTATGCACCTCTTCCATGAGATGAAGCAGGAGTTCCCCACGATACCCGATGCCATTGTGACGCAATGCGTCAATGAGAATTGCCATCAGCGCGACAACTGCATCCAGATGTTGAGGAAGGAGCTGGCCCTGCATCCCATCCCAGTGCAAAGCTATCCGGCCAAGGTGTTGCAGCAGCAGCAGCAGCAACAGCATCAACAACAACAGAACCACCGGCAGGCCAAGCCTCCCACGCCGCTGAAGCCGTCGCGAGTAGCACCACCGCAGCCGGAGTTGGGCCAGAGCAATGGAGAGGCCACGCCGCCAAGTGTTGGCAATGCCCAACCCAATCCGCCGGCCAGGCCACGACCCACAACGTTAAACCTGCAGCGGCAGTTTAGCACCCAGCTGCAGCAGAAGATTCAGCAGCGCCAGCAGCGGCAACAGCACGATCACCAGCCGCCCCAGCTGACGCCCACGTCCTTGAGCAAACCGCTGCGCCGGGCACCGCCGCTCCCGCCGCCGACCAAGCCCAAGCCCGGCAGCTTCTCCAACGATTCCTCCTGTCTCACCAGTCCCATGAGCTCCAGCGAATCGGAGCTTTCGCTCAACACGGTCCCCTTATCGTCACCAGTGACAGCGCCAGCGCCAGCGTCAGCGGCAGCGTCAGCAGCAAGCGTCGCACCAGTCCAACAACAACCCTCGCCCGTGCGACATCGCTCAGTCATTACGCTTCAACCGGAGCCGCCGTACGCGCGCGACTTTCGCAGCAGTGACTTTCCGACGCCGACGCCGCCGCCGCCGCTGCTTCCCTCGCCCAGTTCGGCAGCGTCACCCGGGTCCGCTGGTGGCCGCAAGAGCTTCACATCGCTCAACCTCACCTTGCGCCAGCCGACGGGATCGGCGCAATCGGCCATCGACATCACCGCTGGTCCGGCGCCCAGTGGTCAGGGCAGTGGTATCACCTACTCCAGTGTTAGCTTCGACGCGCGCCGCGGAACACACAAGAACTTTCAGCTGACGGTGACGGACGAGGGCAGCGTCTTCAGTGCGGGCTGCATCCGCCCGAGGAGGCCGTACACCGCCGCCGCCTGTGAGCCGGTGGCTAGTGTTCCGGCCAATCAGTCTCAGCCTCCGGCGCCCGCTGCAGTGGTGGCCGATGGCCTTGGTGACACCGAGATGACGTCGGACGTGTTCCCGTATCCCACGCAGGAGCAGAACCACATTGTGGCCTCCAACTACAGCCACAACCATGCAGCCAGCAACAACAACAACAACAACGGGATCAGTAGCAGCGTGGACAGTAGTCCCACCATGCCGCTCTACGAAGGAGTCCTGGAGGATTGCGATCGCGAGGGTAGGTTTACCTGTTATTTATGTATAAACATATATATTATATATGCAGCTCAGGAATTATTGATTCTATAAAGGCACATGTGCCAGTTCAAGTGTTTTTTTTTATGGCCATTTTCTATTGTTTTACTCTAGAGAAAGGTGTTGTAAACTGTAGAACAAGTTGACAAACCGAAAATGCTCAGTTAATCTACATTTATGTCTATCTGATTGGTTTCTCTGCAAGCAATCTTCTTGATTTTGATCAAACACATTTTTTATTAAGTCTGGTTTGGCATATAAACCAGCAGATATAAGAGCAAACAGTTGTTTAAATATTTTAAGAGAATTTCATCACAATATGCAATTCGCACAAATATTATTATTCATTTATTTTTTTTGCTAAATTTCACCGAATTCCCACCTGCAAACAACTGACACTGATCACTTTTTTATTTCTTTAAATATTTTAAATTTTAAATACATATTAAATTGACAAGAGTATGCGAACTTTCGTCAACTCAATTTGGACCTACACTCCACTCCTGTTATTATTGTGTTCCAACGCGTGTTGGATTCCATTGCTTATCGAGCCAACCAGACGACGTCGCAGTTGGGCTCCTCAGTTCGGTTATCAGGGAGCAGGTTTGTCCAATATTGTTTACACTTGATAAGGAAATTGAATTACGCCCCGAAATAGAATTAGCGGGAACTGGGCTGTCTTATGATCCGCAAACATGGAAAATATGGCTGACCAGCTTTATTGTCAGGGTTAAATGCCTTAAGGGAAGGGTTCACAAGCGCACACGTTCAAGGGTTTACCCGAAGTCAAGATCGATAAAGGGGGTGATTCAAGATAAGGGGAAACCAACAACACTTCCGAAATCACTTTAACAATAAAGGAAAGGCACCATATAATAGATGAAGAAACATATTGACGTCATAAAATGTGGGAAAGAGCCCGTTATCAGCAGGAGATAGTGCTTGCGCATAATGAAAAGTCTAGTAAAGAAGAGTCTTTACGGCGATGTATATAAACTAACACTTATTTAAAGGCATTTACCTGAAATTATTGATCTGTTGCATTTGAAATTCCCGCTTGCATCTTACAGATAAATACCAAACCTAATCCATATGGGACGCCCACGCGTTCGAAATGTTATAGATTGAAATGTCTTTTGTCTGGCTTCTGGCTTTGGCCATGTTTCCCCGTTTTGCCACCTTCCCCCCCCTTCTCTCACTTTTCACTTTATTTATACGCTGTTTGCTTTGGCCACTCTTTCTGCGACGTTTTCAATTTGTTTTCGCCGCGAGACATTCAAGTTCAGGGCGAAATGTGTGGGTGGGAAAACCAGAGAGAGAGAGAGAGAGAGACAAAGGAAAAACGAGCGCTACGGAAAACATCTCCGTTTGATCGGTTAGGGTATTAAGCATACGCAGCGTGGGCCCAAAAGTCACTTACACTTTGACATTTAATCACGCGACGCGATCACGAGAAAACACTTTAAATGTCGTTTAGATTGGCAAATCAATTTCCACTTAGAGGGAAATTTGGAATTACGGAATTTGGAAAAGCGACGACCATTAATGAATTAATTTATCAATTAAGATGCCAGGCGAATGCCATCTAATTATGTGCCGTATTTGGCCACATACACATACACATAGATCGCAGGGAGATCCCTTGGCCCACTGCCCTGTTGGCTATTTCCGTTGGAAATCTATCAAGCGTCTAAAAATATTCAAATGAACAGTCGCCCAAATCAAAACACAGAATGCATTTGAAGACTTTGTCTCTTCGTTTTTTGTTTTTATTTATTTTTACCTATTTTTCGCCGGAATAAATTATTATTAGATTGATTTTTGGTTGTGCTTGCTTGCGCATTTTCACTAAATTTATCTATTTAAATATAAATTCTGTTTATGAACCTCTCGCACTCGGTTGGTGGGGTTATTATTTTTAGCAACAAAACAGAGTAATAAAGTGTGAGGTATTAGACAGTAAAAATAAATCTAGCCGTGGGGAATATTTGCAAACGCCAAAGGCAATCACTTGTTGCCAGACCAAGGCATGCCCACCCGGACATTCCGATTCCGATGCCGATCGATTGATCAGTTTTCGTATGTATATCATCTCTATCTCTATTTCAGCCCATGCCGCCACCATCGAGCGGCAGAAGCATCGACGCGACAAGCTGGCCAATGCGCTGAGGGACAACAAGAAGAAGCTGCTGGTCCTGGAGCAGGAGATCAACATCCTGACCGAACCGGTGCCGGTGGGCGAATCTGAAAGACTGGATAGAGATATCATGCAACTGACTGAGGACTGTAAGCGGCTGCTTGACTGCATAAATGGTAAGTGCGTTTACTAAGCTCATGCATTCCAAGGTTAATCTCTGCGTTCCCCACAGAGCCGCCGGCGATGGACTCTGGTCCTGCGGCCAATTCCGCCATGCGCCAGCACCCCTCGTCGCCCAGCAATGCGCCCCAGCAGCAACAGCAGCAGCCACAGCCACAGCCATTCCCGCGCCAGCGCCAAAATGTTCGCGCTCAGCCGCCGCCCAATTCGTTGCGCCTGCACTCGGTGCCGGCGGCGCCTACCTCGCAGCCGTCCCTGGACTTCGGGCAGCACCACAGCAGTGCCCCGACCTCAGCCTGTCTGACGCCCCAGCTGCAGAGCCAGCAGCAGCAGCTGCAGCAGCAGTTTCAGCTGCAGCAGGAGCCGCCGCCCACGTACGCCCAGTACTATCAGTTCCAGCAATATCTGCAGCAGCAGCGCCAGCAGATCCATCAGCAACAGCTGCAGCTGCAGCAGCAGTTGCAACAGCAGGCGCAACAGCAGGCGCAGCAGCAGTTGCAACAGCAGGCGCAACAGCAGTTGCCACAGCAGGAGGAGGAGTTCCTGTCCGATTCCGATGTGGACGAGGAGGAGGAGCCAATGGACTCGTGGGCCTGCAACATGTGTACATTCCGCAACCATCCGCAACTGAATATTTGCGAGGCCTGTGAGAACGTTAGGATCCAGCCGGGTATGATACGCATTGTTCCTACCGGTGGTGGGGCCGCTGCTGCTGCTGCTGCTGCTGCCACGCCCCCCGGCAGCATTGAGCAGGCACAGCAGCCGCCCCAGCAACCGTACGCCCTGCATACATAACCCAAAAGCTGCTGCAAACGATCCCAAAGTTCTCTTAACATGCATGAGCTCGCTTCCGACTGTTCCTGCATGCTCGACTTTGACACTGTGATAGCATTTAAATTAGTAGGCGGCAGGCGGCTTATCCACTGCATGGCTCAACCTGACAAATGAAGACATGTCCGAAACGAAAACGAAATCGAAATCGAAATCGAGAGGACGGGAACGAATTGCTTAAGCGCGACCTGTTTAAATTATTCTATTTGATTTGTGTATGTACATACATATATGTATATTACTTGCAATCGCCTCAGCCTCAGGCCGTTAACTTTACCAATAACCCCTAACCGTTAAACTATCTTTAAGTCAACGAAAAACAGAGTTTACTATTTTTAGCCACCTTAAAAATAAATAAAGAACGTTATTTAAATATTTACACAAGCTTCGCACGTTGTTGTCTTACACGTTGATTGGTAAAACGCAAAAAATACATGTGTGTGTGGGCTTTGGCCAAATGTTTACTTTTAGCCCCTGTGCTGAGTCGGGAGGACATACACATAACACTCTCGCCAGGCGAAAATCGTGAGTATATAGCCCTAACCATCTGATAACAAATCCGAACTGATCGATTTCCGCCCCCGCTGTGCAGGTATTATACACTCCTGGATACTCTCATGACAGTCGGCCAAACGCTCACCATGAGAACATAGACAGCTCCAGAGATATATATCCTAATTATCCTATATCTTAATTACAACTCTATTTCGTTTTGTATTCGGTAACTTATCCTTAGGAATTGGAAAAAAATGTTAGAAAATATTTAGCCCAAATGCTGCTGGCAGCAACTATTGTATTTTCTGTACTAGCTAAGCCAATACCACATAATTTGAATCTGTAAGAAAAGACTTTTAGTAATGTCGCATCAACTGAAACTAGCAAATATTAATTGTAAAAAGGCCGTGTACATTTTCTAAATATTAAGCTGAGAGATAAATGAGTAAGCGCTTTTCTAAACGATAAATAGAAAAGATCAACTGGCAAAGAAAACTTTTGTAAGCTTTTTAAAAGGTAGCACATTTAATGAAACTAAATTGCAAACTAAGAGAATCCTGTGTGTTTTCTATTTTGTACTGGACCATTTCAAGAGGTAATGAAATATAGTCAAATATTTCCTACAGATTACAATTGAAACAATTACATATATAATTCAATTTGAAAGAGTGCAACTATATGCTCATACCTTTGCTGAATCTTTTTTAAATGCTAGTAAAGTATTTGTATCGGCTCTAACGGGTTTTAAAATCTTGTTATTCTAATTTTAAAATAAAGTGGTCAAGTAGTTCTTTTCGACACAAAATTAAAATATTTTGCAAACAGTTTTTAACAAATTTTCTTAAAGTTTTGAGCAGCATTGTTATGTTAACTAAAAGCAAAAATTCAATCCTCTTCGCTGGAGATCATCCCTCAGAAATAATTTTTTAAAGACATCTCAAAATCGAAAGCTGTGCATTTCATTTGAAGTATACCTTCGAACTCCGTTTTTGGAACCTTAAATAAAAAAAAAGTTGTTGTTTATATTTGAATTAAGTAAGGACTAATAGAGTTGGTTGGAAGTTCAACTGAGCTACCAAAATGATCGTTACCATTTCCAGGTGCTCCCCGTCCATAAGCGACCACAGTTCGATAGGCAACTTCCTCTGATTCTCATTGCTTGCGATTTCCCGGCGCACTTGGGCTACGATGTTACGTATCACACTTGCGTTCGGCTGGGAACAATATTCCAGCCGCAGGTGGCTCAATCTAGGGCAGACGCGGAACAGGTGGAGAATCGCTGAGTAACTTTCGCTGCGGTGCGTGTAGCTGAGTTTTTCCAATTTCTTTAGATTCGCGAGCTCCTTGAGCACATCGTCGGTCAGGACTGTGTGGAGCAGGTGTAGGACACGAAGTTCACCAAGCTTGGCAACTTGTAGAAGTTCTTCCCTGGGTAAACAATAAAAGCCAAGTACTTCAAAGTGCTCCAGCTGCTGCGACTTGTGTTCAACCAGTTGAGCAATAAGAACTTGGAACTTGAGGTCTTCATCAACACCGTCTATAAATTCGTTACTGCTGCTTATGGTCAGGCTCTTCAGGCTAGGCAATTGGGACACAAACTCAAAGGTTGTATACGGACCGGCTGTAATCCGAAGCACCGCCAGCGAAGGACAGGTCTTGCAGATCGAAAAGCGCTTCGTCGTCTATATCTGAGTTGGACAGCTGTAACTCCTCCAGCTGACTCTTATTGGCAATCATAGTGTGCAAGTGAAGACCGAGTTGAGGGTTGCAAATCACCTGTATGCTCCTCAGACTGCTGCAATAATCTCGTATGAATTCGGCCAGCCGTTCCGAGTGTTCCGTTTCAAAGTCACCGATCAGGGTCTGTATATGAGCCCCAAATAGTTGAAAGTAGTCTCGAATGTCCCATACGGTCAAGCGCCTGAATTGAATCAAGTCCAGAGATGTGTGCAGACTGGCTGAGGCCTGCAAGATCGCCCTAAAGCGCAGGCACGACCTAGCAAAACGCAGTCGATCTTGCAGTCCTAGCTTGGCCATAATGTGCTCCAAACAATCGTCATTGAGGGCCAAGATGGGCGACGGTCCCTGGTGGTTCACCTCTTCCTCAGGGGTTCCGTAGGCGTCCGGCTGCTCCCAACTGTCGCTGGGCTGTACCATGAATATGACACCATTCAACATGTGAGTGCTCATGAGGGCCCTGGAAATGGGTTTTTGCAAAACTGAGGTCTTAATAAGCAAGCAAGAAGCAAGTCACACTTACCTAGCCGCATCTTTATCGTTGGCATAAAGCACAGAGCCACTTTGGAACATTGATGCATCCATTTCAAACCGAACCGTCTGGATTTGCAGCACGTGTCCAAATTCGGCAAAGTGAGAGCACAAAGTGCTCTCCTCTAGCTGCAGCAAAAAAAAAATCGAATTTAAAAGGGATCTCAACTAAATCTGGACAAACACTAGCTATGAACCTTGGATGGGGCATCGCACCAGCATAATTTCCTTACGCGAATGTGATCCTCTGTGTAGGCAATTGAGTCTTCGAAGTAGTAGTTTTGATCCGCTGCAACGGTGAATTAGTTGTTTTACATATGTACAACATGTTTTTAGTAAGCCATTTGACTAACTTACTTGTACTGCTGACGAAGTATGCCATTTCTAATTGATAAATACGCAGCTATCGATTGACCAGCATGCATCTGTTTGGTTTTCTTTAATTAAGGGATTAATTAGAAATTGCTTTGTGAATCAAGTTCCAAAAAGAATACAGCAGTAGTTAGTAGTAGTAAGCTATGGATAATTAAAAAAAAAAGTTCTCAATGCACAATTATCTCAAACCGGATTACATATGGGAATTTAAAAATCTACAACATAACCGTTTCAATGTTTGGACCCAAGACAAAAAGACCTTCAAGACACTCGATGCAACATAGACATAGATTCCAGATCTAGCGCCTTCAAGGTTTTATGATGGAATATCTCTTAAAGTGGAGAATGTTTTCCATTTTCACTGTGATTACCGATTTCAATGGAAAAATGACTATGTAAATAACTTGTTTAAAACAGGAAACCTTTTGAATTGTAAAAGTGCCAAGTGATACCCATTACTCAATTTAACAATTTCTTTTTATACCCTTGCAGAGGTTATTATAATTTCAGTCAGAAGTTTGCAACGCAGTGAAGGAGACGTTTCCGACCGTATAAAGTATATATATTCTTGATCAGCATCACTAGTAGAGTCGATCTAGCCATGTCCGTCTGTCCGTCCGTTAATATGCAAACTAGTCTCTCAGTTTTAAAGCTATCTGCATGAAACTTTCCCAAAAGTTGTCTTTCTATTGCAGGTAGTATATAAGTCGGAATTAAAAAACAGCTAAGTTATAATTTTTTTCATTATTTTTTTCCGATTGTTCCTATGGGAGCTATATGATATAGTCGACCGATTTTGATGAAATTTAAACCGTAATTCTGAAATATTTAACTATTACTAAATGTCGAAGAACTAAAAAAAAAATTAAAAAACCTCAGAGTTATAATTTTTTTTCATTTATTTTTCCGATTGTTCCTATGGGAGCTATATGCTATAGTCGTCCGATCCGGCTCGTTCCGACTTATATACTACCTGCAATAGAACAATAGACAACTTTTGGGAAAGTTTCATGCAGATAGCTTTAAAACTGAGAGGCTAGTTTGCGTAGAAACGAACGGACAGACGGACATGGCTATATCGACTCTGCTAGTGATGCTGACCAAGAATATATGTATATATGTATATATATATAGGGTCGGAAATGTCTCCTTCACTGCGTTGCAAACTTCTGATTAAAATTAAATACCCTCTGCAAGGGTATAATAACATTTTGCAGAACCGATACAAATGTTTCAGTTTGCTGCGGGTGACCATCGATTATTTTCGCCATTATCGATACATCGACAAAAATCGATGGCTGCGGACTAGACCAAATATTTTTTAATATATGTTATGTTTTTTTTACTTTCCAAAATATGGATCAAATTTTTGTGTGTACTGATCTAAATTTATTTATATTTTTTTTCTAATAGGGTAATTCCACACAGATCCATCCACCTTCTACCATCTGTTGAAGGGATGGTCTATAAGGTTTTGCCGTTCCAAAAACTTCCCAGTTAGTCCGCCGTTAAAATTTGACGGACTTTGACGGACTAATTCATGCGATAGTTAGTTGATGTTTTTGCGGTGCAGCCCTGTTCCAACGCAGTCCTTCTTTAAGAAAAACATAAACAAAGATGGTTGACCTGTTGACTTTGCTTAAGTTTTGGCGAGCCACAGCTGTTCAGATCAGCTCTGTGTTTTGTAAGAATCGGAGTTTCACATCTGTTGAAAATTCCAACCGTTTCCAACAAATGGACTGTGTGGAAAGAGGGCATTACATTCCTTAAGTTTCCAAAGAACGGTTTTCATTGTTTTGTTATGCTTAAATTCATAATAACATTAATTACTATCGAATGTTTAAACTCTCACTATCGAAATTATCGAGTGGGGCACTATCGAGGTTTTTACAGCTCTGTTCCGCACTGATTACATTAGCTTCGCTATTCTGTCGATTCCCAACCCTATCTTCCAGAATCAAACTCCGTTCTAATTTCCAAATATTTCGATATACACAAATTCTCCTGAATTTAAAATTTGGAATGGTCAATTCTCGAGAAACGTCTGATTGGTGTGTCATTTTTGCGAGCAGCATTTGGTCACACTGGCACTGTCAAACGTCGGTTGGCGCTTGAAATGAATGTCGAAATCCGAGTCTAGATTGATTTTACAAGTTTAACAAGTAATTAGAAGCAAAGCAGAATCGAATATGGCTCGGTTTGTGAGTAAGACGTGTAAGTAGACATATGTATGGCAAGTCAGTTGCAGCCTTCGCTTTCCGGGAAATGCACATGTGACGATTGCTGCGTAAAAAAGTAATGTGAAACTCCTTTGCAGCCCATGACAACTGCTACCTCAAGAACTCGATTGTCTACACCGAGGACCACATTCCCGTGCAGAAGCTCTACTTCAGCAAGGTGCCTCCGGAGGTTGCGTCTTTCTGGCCACGTTGTTTGTCCTCTGTGTGCCTGGCTAACCCACTGTCGAGCCCTTTTGCAGCTGAACCAAAGCATTCTTGAGCATCACTTCCGGATCTATGTGCGCGTGCTGCGTTTGCAGATCTTCAAGCCCCGGATTTTTCCGCGCAATGGACGCAAGGACGTCCAGAGGACTGGCTTCGTCCACTACGCGCAGAAACTAGACGCAGCCAAGTAGGTTCGCGAGCACTCTTGAACTCCCAGCTCCACCCTTCTTTCCACTCTTTCCCAGGGCCCTACACAGCCACATCCACCATGTGAACGGGCACAGGTTCCTTGTGCAGGCCAGTTACAGCTGGCACCAGCCGGACGCCTATGGAACACCCCGTGATCCGGCGGTGAGGTTTCCCAACACGGAGCCCCCGCCGCAGCCAGCCATCATGGGCCTTAACGACCTCTGCCTGGAGCATGTGCTGCAGTACCTCGAGTTGGAGGACCAGATTCACTTCGCCAGAAGCTGCCTGCGCTTCAGGGGCGTCTACCAATTGGCCATCGCCAGGCGTCACAAGACGATGCGCCTGACCCAGTTCAAGGGCATGACCGTCTGGGACATGCGCGACTTCTTCAGGCTGTCCTGTTGCCATGTTCAACATTTGGCAGACTTTCAAGGCGCTTCCCCAGCTAAAGGAGCTCAGCATTAAGAATGCATTCACCATTGGTTCTGAGTTCTTCCAAACCATTATCAAGGACAACTCATGTGCTTTGCTGGAAACCCTGCGAATCTCTGTCACCGGGGGCGGAAACTAGGGATTGGTAGCCCAACTGCCCAGCCTGAAGCACTTGTTTGTCTGTACAGGCACGTATTTATGATTATAGCCCGTTGCGCAAGGTTCTCTTCGAGCAGCTGGTTAAGCACAAGGCGGAGCAATTGGAGCGACTGGAAATAACTGGTAAGGCGGTGCTGACCACGGAAATGCTTGTTCACATTTCCAAACTAGTCGGGCTGCACACTCTCTGCCTTAACCGTATCTGCCTGGACAGAGTTCTGGGCGAGTTCTCTAGTCTCGTCAAGCTGGAGCAGTTAACCCTCGGGCAATCGTATGGCGCTAGCGAGTCTGCGCTCCTGAAGTTGTTCAATTCCTGCCGTAAGCTTAACATTTGGAAGGTGGATAGGGAACTCAACTTGGACAAGCTGCTTCCCGGCATCGTGGCCCAGGTGCGCAAGGAGATGGCCAACAAGGCGCTGCTCCGGAAGCTACCTATCCAGCTAAGGACCTATTTCGTAAGCAGCAGCATCAGGAATTCCATCCAGGCGGTAAGTGCTCCAAACCCATTGATGTTTTTTAACTTACCGGCTAGTAGCTATTAGCTAGATACCCTGAAAAGGTTTATCAAGACTTGACCACAATGGTCAACTTCTAATATGAAATTAAAACCTAAAGTTAGAGACCTATTTTGACTAGTTCAAAGTCCAACCTTAAAACGTTTTTAATTTTAGCAAATGAGCGCAACGCACTTCGTTGTATAATTTTTCATTATCTACAGTATTTTATTCGCAAACTTGTTAAAAAAAGAACATTCAAAGGCTTTAAATTCGTATCAAAGTACATTTTTCTAGTTTTGATCTAAGACACCAGTCGTGTTTACACCCCCATTTTCCAGGGTAGCTAAAGCGATTGTGGCTATTTTGTCATTCAGAGCCTTGTGGTGCCTGGAAGTGGCAGCCTGCAGGTTCTTGATCACTCGATCGGAGGCCTGAATGGTCAGTGCCTTGGTCATGTTGAGCTCGTGCTGCGCAGTTGGAAGGTTGAGAGTGACGGCGCGAGACGATCGTGATTGCGTCACGACCATCGAGTATATATCAATGGCAGCGTTCGCCAGTCGTGTTAGCAAAATTTGCTCGTTTACTATATTTTTGTTGTATCGCAGCAACAGTTCTTCCACCGACTGACCGAATAGATCGATGCAGTGAGCCGTTTTCTTGGCATAGGGTAGAAGTTCATCCACCACATGGACACTCAGATCGGTGCCACCCAAACCGACCGTCGAGGCAGCCCGCTTCGAGGCTTCCTTGAAGATCAGTCCCAAATTGGCGGATGGATTCTTAAATGCACGCTGCAGTTCCTTGAGATGCGACCCCGCATACTGGATGCCAGTCAGTGCAATGAACAGCCGAAGAATGTCGTTTGTGCCCTCGAATATGCGGAAAATACGCAAGTCCCGCAGGACGCGTTCCAGGCCAGTGTCCACCATATATCCCATGCCGCCCAGAATTTGAATAGCCTCGTCGCAGACGTACCAAGCGCTCTCCGAGGCATAGATCTTCGATATCGCGGCCTCCAAGTGATAGTCCTTGCTGCCGGCGTCCATGTTCTGCGAAATGGTGAACGCCATCGACTCCGTGGCGTATTGCAGAATGTTCATTTGGGCCAACTTTTCCTGAATGGAACCATAGTTCTTTAGCTTTTGGCCGAATTGAACGCGATTGTTGGCGTGATCGGTGGCCAGTTCGATGCATTTCCTCATGGTTCCCGACAGCGTGGCACCCATTCCGAACCGGCCGTTGTTCAATATGTTCATGGCCACCTTAAAACCGTCCCCTTCCTTGCCGAGCACATTTTCGATTGGAATTTTCACATCCTCGAAGTAAACTTCAGCCGTGTTCGATGCCTTTATGCCCATTTTTTTCTCTGGCGGACCATTAGTGACGCCACCAAAAGACCGTTCCACAATGAACGCCGTAACCTTGTCCTTCTTCTCGCCTGTCTTCGGGTCCACCTGTTCGGTCTGAGCGAACACGGTCATGATTTCGGCTATGCCACCATTGGAGATCCAGATTTTCGAACCATTCAGAACGAAGTGCTTCTGGTCGGCACTCTTCACAGCGCGGCATCGAATGGAGCCGGCATCTGATCCGGAACTTGGCTCCGTGAGGGCAAAGGCCGCGTAGACTTGCTCCGAGGCCACCTTGGGCAGATACTTCTCCTTCTGCTCCGGGGTGCCGTACAGCAGGATTCCCTTGAATCCGATACTTTGGTGGGCGCCAATCGTGATGCCCAGTCCCAGATCATTGGCACCCACAATGGCGCATAGCCTGCCGTACTGGGTGTTGTTCAGACCGAGGCCGCCGTACTCGGATGGCACTTGGATCCCAAAGGCCCCAAGTTCCCACAAGGCCGTCGACGTGGTGTCGTCCAGTTTGGCATTGGCATCGTTCTGGGCGGCGTTGTTGACCTCTGCGAAGAATCGTTCAAACGGGTCTATCAGGCTGTTGGTCAGGTCCTTCTGCTCCGTGGTCAGGACATCCGGGTACGGGAACACTTGGCTCGACTCCAACGAACCCCGGAATATGTTGGCCATGAAAGACTGATTCTCACTCGCCTTCTCCTTGTTCCGATTGGTTTCCGCGCCCAACTTGGGACTGTGCGTCGCAACTCGCCTGCAGAATGTAGCATTTCCTGCTAATTTTGTGCTATTCAGGATCGTATGCCTCCACATAATTTCCAAGTGTTTGTTAAATCGCCCTTTGGACTAAGAGTTTTAAGTGTGACCACATTCCCGATCATCAACAAAGATTTAACAATTTGGTATATTTTTCTGAACTTGTTGATATTAAATGTTTTGCATTTTAATTAACGGTACTTAAAACCCAAAGGAAATATTTTTCGGTTTTTAACCCAATGGTTTTTTCTAGATTTCTGAGAGACTTTCGGTTAAAATTTTGGTAAGGCCAACACTTAAATAAACATGTTTGTTGATGACAAAAATCGATCTATTTTTTCAATTATATGATAAGATTCCCATTTGCCTTTCAGCATCCAGATAAAGTTCCCAAAGAGATTATCCAAATATAATTGAAGTCCCCTGTTGATGTCAACAGTGACAGTGAGGATGACTTTGATACGGCAGTTATGAAATTATATGAGTCCGATTTTGACTCTTAAGCGATGACGATGAGGATTCGGATTCCGACCCGGCCTTTGGCTACGTTTATCATTCGTAGTTAAAACTGTTCTTCCAATTTCATTTCTTTTGATAAACACTCCAGATTGATTGTCAACTTATTTAAACATCCACTAAAATTAAATGAAATATTTAGTGAAAAAACATAAGCCTTAATTTTTGTATGTTATTGTTGCCGAATAAACAAATGAACGTGAATAAGAAAAAAGTGTTTATTTAAGATAGAATTTTTTAATACTTCTTATATGATATTTAAGTCAATAATTTGATGCTATTCCCAAAATTTTGACCAATCAACAACCTTTAGATGATTCGGCGTTTCATAAAAACAACAATGGGAATTCCATAGTATACCAATATCGCCGCACGCAATTGACATTATTTTAGTGAGTATTATAATAGATGTTGACAGATTACTTATAAAAAATTAAAAAAAAATCATATCCTGAGAATGTATTTTAGGTAGTAACGATATAGTCAGCGGATACCCTAACTGTTTAGTCCCACACCACGGGGCGTGGTATATTTTTTGCCTTTCACCATTCGGTCACATTAAAACTCAGCTTGGCGCTTGAAACAAACGTCGACTTTTGTGTTCTGTGAAAAATCAGTGAAGAATCAATTAATATGGCATATTTCGTGAGAAATCGGAGTAAGTTTGATAAATAGCTGTTTATTCTAGGTGTATGTCGCTGCTTAGTATGAAAACTCTCCCTCTCCCTTTGCAGTGGAACGAAACTACTACTTCAAAGACAGGATGGCATACACCGAAGACCACATCCGAGTTAGGAAACTGATTTTGTGGGATGTTCCATGCAAGGTAGCTCCCGCTCGTCCAGATGGACGGTATTCTTTACGCCAGTCTTCTCTTTTATCCCTTGTCATTTGGTGCAGTTGAACAAGATTATGTTGAATGCACATTTTAGTGACTTTGGACGTGTGGGGCGAGTCCATTTATCAAGGAAAACCAAACAATACACGTATCGCACGGTCAATGTGGTATATGACAAAGCCGGATGTGCAGCCAGGTAAGTGTGACGCGCTCGAACACAAGGACCTCACTTCAAGCCCATTTCCAGAGCCCTCCGCGAGAGTAATCATGAAATAGATGGGATCGAGCTATGGCCATGGGCCGGCGACAGTTGGAAGCAGCCGGATGCCTACGGGACCAATCGGGAACTGCGCCTTCACCGGGGGCCATCGCCCATCTTGGACCTCAATGACGACTGTTTGCAGCACATTATGGCACATCTTGGACTGCAAGATCAGGTGCGATTCGCCAGGACCTGTCTGCGCTTCAGGGCGGTCTACCGCGATGCATCAGCCAGGCTGCACACTTCTGTGGAGTTGGGCCAGTTCAGGGACATGACCGCATGGGACATTAGTGACTTTTTCAAACTGTCTGGGGCTCATGTGCAGGTCCTTTATGACAAACCAGATTACGAAACAAGGCGATACGTTCATGCGGGTTGTTTGGCCGACTCCATAGCGGACCAATGCATGAATCTTCGGTCCCTACGCCTGTTTAACAATCCCCAATTGGAATTCCATTTGAAACTGACGCTTGCCAGGATGCACCAGCTAGAGGAGCTGCAGCTTGAAAGTACAAATGCATTTGCTCCATCGGTACCGCAAAATCTAAAGCACCTTAAGATACTGAATTTAAGCTGCAATTCATTAACAGGCAACTCCTTGAGGAGAAAGCTACCCGTTTCCATCGAGGTATTGGGACTTAATGAATGCCGGAACTTTGATGCCAAATGGCTGCCCGGAATATGCAAGCGTTTAACCAATCTAAAGGAGCTTAATATACAAAATGTTATTACATCGAATAAGGAAATCTTTAAAGCGATGGTAACGAAAAACTTGTGTCCTTCGCTGGAGACGCTCCGGATGACGGCCTGCCGAAACAGCGGATATGAGTTTGTGGCTCAACTGCCTAAGCTGAAGCACCTCACCATCTACACTCACCGCAACGATCTGGACTTTCGTGCCATTATAAGTAAGGAGCTAATTGATCAGTTAGTGATGCATAAGGCAGACCAACTGGAGCAATTTGAGGTTTTTGGCAGCTACCACTTATCTCGGGAACAACTTAAACAAATTGCCAAGCTTACTGCCCTTCGCGTACTCATCCTTCGCGACATAGATCTGAGCAGCGATGAGCTAGAGGAGTTTGCAAATCTCAAGCAGTTGGAAAAGCTCTGCTTCGGTCTCCCAAGCGCCACAAACTCCATAATTCTGCAGGTGCTGAGTGCCTGTCCGAAGTTGAACTACCTGCGCCTACAGGCAAACGCTAAAACAGACGCTGAGCTGGTGCTTAGCATCGTGAACCAAGTGCGACAGGAGATAGCCAATAAGGATATGCAGAGAGAGCTTCCCATCGAACTGTGGTCATCTATGAATGACGAGCAAATTAAGGAGCTGATTCTGACAGTAAGTGTGCCATACTTTTTTTTATTCTCTCATAATTGAAATGCAATATACATTTCTTTTTTAGAGTTCTGAAGTTGTGCCTGAGGACATTATTCGAATAAAATCCAGCGAGGGAGAGTGTGGCCGCCTTAGCATGGACTATAAGTGGACTTTAACAGGATTGAAAAATGAATTCCATATGGAGATGGCCATTGACCGCGACTCGCCAAGCGAAGATGATTCTGATTCCGATTTGGGCATAGACTCTTCCAGCGAAGATGATAACGAGGAGCGGTGATTATTAGATAACGTGCTGATTGGTTCAGACGGTCCTGGTGTAATTTTACTACTTTTACGAAAATAAACGCAAAGTGTTGTTAAAATTAAATTCAGCGGTCGAGCGCTCACATTTGTTTGAGTGATTAGCACCCCACTCAGGGGAGTGGAATCTTTCAAAAAATACTTATATACTACTTCAAATACCAATTTTTACCAATCATTATAGCAAATACTTCTCCCACTCAAACTGTGAAATTATTCTATGGTTTAGTAAGGTTTTTTAATCTAGAATATTTTGAGATGGTTGTGCCAAGATTTTAAGTAGATCGGATGTAAGCTTACCAAGTTGTTAGATCGACCATCTCGTTTTTATCTGGAAAATCACGGAGCTTTTAATTATAATTTTTAACTAAAAAAATAAAAAACAGAATAGAAAAACTTCAAAAATTGTGATGCAAAAAAAAAAAAGTAAAATTAATTTTTGTTTACCAGAAGAATTCCGTAACCTTACAAACCACCTTTTATTCGAAGGGGTACATTAGAGCATTGCCCACTTAAGAAAAACAAAATTAAGAAAGTAGCCCATTTTTGGTTTTTAAAACACTTATTCCCTACCCCAATAAAGTTAAAACCTTTATTGCAACAAACGGAACTTAACTTTGTTTTTCACTTTGATCATATATTTGCAATTGTTAAATACAGTTTGTGTTTTAAAAATTCGCTTCTAGACGCTTTTCCGGTTACAACTTTTTGTTTCTTTTCTGAAAACCTAAAAATCATCGTTGTTTACTTTGTAATTATTGTATTGTACGTTTTCATCAATATATTTCAGTTAATTTGCAGCTACTAAGCGCCTTGGTGTTTCAGGGTTTTGCCTTACATTTAAGAAGCAACAATCATTTAATTGACTTTCGAAAATTGCACGAAAAATGTTTAAACATAATTGCGGCAGGATTAAATATATTTAATAAACATTAGCCTAAACTGGAAACGTCTTCGCTGAATATATAGTTAATAGGATCAACAATCTCATACATATAGATATAATTATAGGATATATAGTAAAGCACAGAGAATTTCGTTTGTTAACTAAGATAAAGACAAACATAACACAAATATAATACTTTTTTGAGTGAAGAAAAGCTTAATTAAACAGCATTTTCTCTTTAGATATGCAATAAGTATTAACAATTATAAAATTGAGAATTTATATATATGTATTTATAAATATAACTTGACGGTTATTCAGGCAGCAGAAAATGTATATTTGATTACAGCTATGACGCGCGTGATCTGTGCAGGTGAGTAGCTAGCTGTTTGGGCAAGAATCAGGGCTTAAGGTCCAACGAGGCCTAAACTACAATGCTCTACTTCATAACACGCCCATGAACGTATGTATATGCCTTGTATATATTTATGTAAGTATATTCTAATAAATTATTGTACTCTCTTGCTAGTGCCAAGTGCCAATTTGGCCGCATCTTATAATTGTCCAATTGCCTCGCCCTCCTCTCCTTCAGTTCTTCCTTCTAAATGTATGAGTATTGCTGTACCATTACTTGGAGTATTTTTCTTGTTCATTACTTTTGGTTGAGATTATTGATTGATTGATTGATTACTGCTGAACAACTTGGATGGCTTAGAGGGTGATGTCGTGCTCTTCGTCGAGCATTTCGACAAAAGCGCGTGGTACCAGTCCCTTCATCAGGCCCTGTTTTCCGTACATGTAATCCTCGTTAACGGGCGAGCATTCGGTCACAAAGATCACCTGAAAAATGTTAAATAATAGGGTGTTTAATAAAGATTTGGATGTGCTGGTTTTTATATTCGCTTTGTTGAGTTTAACATATATATTATTTTAAAATTAAGCCATTTTCAGTTCAATAAAACAAGTACATTATACTCTCTAATGTCCTTGTCGGCACACTTTAATTTTATCCAGGGACCTCTATTAGCTTTTGCATAATTATAATAAAAAAAATTAATTAAAAAAAACATTTTAAAACTTTTTAAACTAAAACATTTTTTGTCGCTTTAACTTTAAAGTTATGGCCCACTTTCTGATTTTAAAAACTTTAATTTTATATATTAATATTATTTTCCTAATTAATAAAATCGGAGTGCCCAATTATTTTTCTTTTATAAGTCTGCTAAAAAATCTAAGTTGTTTGCAAATAAATATTTAAAAACAAGATTCCTTTCCAAACTTAAAAAATATAAACATCACAATTGCAGATTCATTTTTCGGAAAACACTCATCATGTTAATTGTTGTTGTACCACAGAGATTACAGAAATTTTATTATTAAAAACCGCCCATTGGCGGTTCTAAGCAGCTCACCTCATTTGCGCTCAAATTAAGCTCGGTGTGATCCTTGGCATCGTAGGAGCAGAGGACGCGTGCCCGCTGCATCTGATCCGTGCTGACTTGCATGGGCTGATGAGGCCTATGGCCAGGGGCCACCGAGTTGGCGGAATGGTTGCTGCCGGGACCACGGTCCGCGGCTCCGGCCGATGAGCTGGACTTGCTGGCAATGGCCTCGGATGCGTCGAGTGGAATGTATGGTGTGGGGCCTCCCAAGCTGATGGAAGATGCAGAGTTTAATGAGTTTTTGATTCGGTTCGATTGCGAGGCTCTAAATGGAGGGATGAGCTGCTGAAACCTAACTGTTTGAGGTGCGACAACTACGGATAACAACAGCCTAACTAGTACGTATAATTAAAGGTTAATGTTAACTGGCACGAGGTCCGATTCGAATTTCAGGTCAGGCCACTAACAAGACCCCTAGACTGTGGAGACGGCAGTCGTATCGAACTCTATGTGAAAGTCGTCCAGCAGGTTCGTTAGGGACTTGTCCAGATCGGGATCTGGGTCGCTATCTAGGGCTAGGCCCACTAAGGAATCGGAATCACAGGAATGCATCGACACAGAGCTGGGAGGCCCACCATCAACGTCTTCGCTATTGATGCGCAGGCGTGGCTTGGGATGCTGCATTCTGTAAGACCACAAACAGATAACATAACGCAGAGTGAGATGACCAGAAGGGAGCACGGGATGCAGCAGGGATGGGGCCTGGTGCTTGGGGTGCAAGGACAGGTACTTTTGGTGCCTAGTTGACAGTCTCAGCCAGAGTCAAATCCCCCAACGTCAACCTTCAACTCACTTGGCCAGCTCGCGCTGCAGCTGCTCCATGACATCGCCGCACTGCTTGTAGTAGCGCACCTGCGTCTGGATGAAGGCGTGCAAGTGGCGCAGGTGTGAGGCCTGCGAGGTGCTGATCCCGTCCAGCAGCAGCTTGGTGATCTCCGACTGCCGATCGAACTCGGCCTGGGCCACCCGCAAATCCCGTTCCGCCTGCGAAAACATTGAGAATTACTAATCCGCATATTGACTGACCATAAATCCAAAGCTTGGTCAAGGTCCCGATACCTGTTCCAAGGCGGCCTCTGGCGAGATGCCATCTTTCTACACATTCCGAACCAACACAAGGCAGCAGAGGACAGAAAAAGACCGTGAGTAAGATAGCCATTACGAAACCCAATCAATCCCCTTCAACTAAACCCCACAAAAACCACTCACCGACTGCTGGCCGAGCATGCTGCGCGCCTTCTTCACCCTGGTCTTGCAGGCATCCAGATCCAGGCGCTTGGACTCCAGAATGCCGCGTTCCTTGCCAATGGTCTTCATCTCGCCGTCGAGAAACTTGCGCAGCGGCTGTGTGAAGCAGATGCCCGAGGTGGCGATGAAGTCGTGCTCGCACTGACCCAGTTTCTGCTCCGCCTGGCCGGCCTTGATCAGCGCCTGACCGTAGGGCAGATCCTGTCCGAAATCCCCGCCAGCCTCGATCATGTCCAGGGCCAGGTGCTCCAGGTTGCTCAGCCGCTTGGGCTTCGACTTCTCGATCTTTTCGAAGATGAAGTCCTCGACCCGGTTCTGGGGGTTGGGTATCAGCACCGACTCCGTGTCCCGCACTATCTTCTCCGTCCACGTCTTGGTCACATCGGCCCGCTCGGCGAGATTCTGGAAGTGCAAGTCGTACTCGGTGCGCTCCGTGGTGCCCAGTTTCTCTTCCGTGAGCTGGAAAAGCGCAGTGTCAACGCAAGTGCTTGAGCTCGGGCTGGAAGCCACCTCCCCCGAATGATGGCCCCCACCCGCTTTTCTCCTGCCATCGCCACCCAAAATCATTGATTTGTTCACCTGCACCACTCGTGATATCGTGCTGCCCGCCTCCTTCACCAGGTTCTTAACGTTGAAGTTGGGCAGATGAATGTTCATCTTTGCAGAGTGGTTCTACAACGCTGGTTTCTGCTTTCAAAATTTTTAATTTAAGCTCAGCTTTGCTGCCCAAATTGTTTGTATTTATCCAGTTTGCACTGCACCAGTGTGACCGTGTTTATAAACCGTTAAAATACCCCACTACCAAATATACCGAAATCTATAAGGGTGTGAAAAGTCTTGCGGTATTTTCGCGTGGTGAGTTGGAAATTTAAAAATGTAAATTTAAATCGATTATATTTTATAAATAACTCTAAATAAATAGTCACTTCATAGTCGTTAGATATAAACAATTATAGAACACAATCAGACAATTCGTGTTAAAACAATTACTGTTATTTGAACTTATAAAAAAAATATTGTAGTTTCTTTTAAATTTTATTGCAAGCTAGGATTACACTTAAGACTAAATATACTGCCGCTAGAAACACAACACATTTAAACCTAGTGGATCTGCTTCCAAAAGCCGCCGCAGTGACAGTGAAGCCACTTGCTGAACCACGCTTTCAGCGCGGAGGTCTTGGCCACTTTGCTGGCGTTGTTGACGAAGACGAATCCGCAGCGGGCGCACCGGCGGATGGTGCTGGGTCGGGCGCCCAGCTGAAGATTGCTCACACCATCTTTTACCGATCGCGCGAAGACCACCTCCTCCGTTTCCATGTCCTGCAGGCAAGATGGCTCCACCAGCGAAGTGAACTGCAGGTGCCCCGACTTGACGGCTGCGAATCCCTGGGCACTGAGCAGCGTGGTGGGGCTAAACTTCGTGGGCCGGGGAATTAGCAGTTGCTTGGACAGCAGACTGCACTCGTCCAGCAGCATTTCGTCCGGCTCGGCGGGATTTTGGGCCAAGCGGGTCAGCAAACGAAACAGGATCACCAGTACATCAATGTTATCCATGGTTTTGGTGTAAACGGGCAGGCACTGGGTGTTCAGCAGACCCCAGATGCGGATCATGACCAGGAGTTCGCGAAGAGTGCCAATCGCAACGATGTCCCTGCTGATATCATAGCTTGGCCGCTTCCCAGAGAGCTTGCTCTTCATTACCTCCTCGGGCAGGCGGTGCAACATGTTGAGCGCTAGGTCGGTGACCCACTGAATTAGCTGCTGAAGGCTCTGGAGCATAACTGGCTCCACGGTAAAGTCCTTGGCATCCAGGTTCAGCATAACGGTGTCCACATCCGGTATAGATTCGGCCAGTTTCATGGCCAAGTTGTCGGCAGGTCCTTTATCCTGGAAGCCCAGATCGGAGGGCCGCAAAAGGCTCTTGAATGTGGTGGATATGGCGTGCAGAATGATCAGATTGTCGAACTCCTGCTGTTGCACGCGGCACAGATTGGATTTAAGGGCCAGAAAATTAGCATAGTAATAGTGCCGCACATACGAAGGTTGCCGCGTAAAGTTGTCCGTTAGCTTCTCAACCAGGACCTCCAAGTTTCCCAGATTGAGGAGGAGCACATCACTGGCATCGCAGCCCGTGACGATGCAATATTCGAGCAAAAGCAAACTGGAACCTGATTGCTTAAGAAGGGGAGCCTGCATGGCGTGCAACTGCGCGTGGCTGTCGAAGATCAGGAGCATTTGGCTGGTGGGCGTCAAGTCGCCGCTAACAAACTTCACTCCTCCACTGGCGTCCGATAACTTCTCGAACTGGGTGTGATTAAGTTGCTTCAGCGAATTGGGCTCCAGAACCTGGACGCTGTTGTCCTGAAGAATGGCATACACCTGGCAGCAGTCCGGTGCGGAAACCGATAGACGGGTTACGCTTATATCAGCCAAAGATGCACTAAGCTGCACTTTGCCCACCTGCTCCCAGCTTTCGGACTGCACGAACTCGTTGGGCTTGCTATTGGCGCCCTGCAGCAGGGCGTGGACACTCTGATGCCTGCGTGTCAGCGTCCATTGCTCCAGTTGGCTGCCAGAACCGTCCGGACAGGCGTAGGCTATGAAGATCACATCTTCGCTGGCTACTCGCGTCCATTTCAGGTGACTGATCCGTCGTCCATCGAGAGGGCCCAAGAAAATACTGGCCTGTGACTCCGACTTGATGGCCAGATGCTGCTCCAGACCCAGTTCACCTTCCAGGGACAGTGAAACCCTGAAGCACTGCACCAACTGCTGCTGCCAGCCGCAGCTGAAGGCAACACTAAGGGCTCCCGATGGACTCGGCGTCATGCTGCAGTGCTCAATGAAGCTGCGCGAGATGCCGATGCTGTGAAGCGTGGGCGTCAGTTCGACGATCTCATGGGCGGGGCCTTCTGCTCCTCCCCCGCTGGCTGATGTTTTCTGCAGCACTGGCAGGCAAAATGCGGCCAGAAGTCCAGAGGAGGTGAGCAGCATGCACCCCTCGCTGGGCACTCCACCAAATCCGCTGAGAGTGGGCTTCTGCTGCTCCAGCCGCTCAAACTTTTCGGCATAGTAGGTATGATCTTTTTTCTGGGGATTAAAGACCACCCCCTTGCCGTTGTGGAAGAATAGCGCCTGGACGATGTCCTCGCTGGGCACGGTGGCGTGATACTGCAGCAGCCACAGGTTGATGGACTGGTTCCTCGTCTGCCAGATCTCCACGCGCCCGCCGACGAAGCCAAGCAGCAGTTGCTCTCCGTTGGGACTCCACTGGAGCACACTGATCAGCGACTTGGAGGAGCACACCTTGTAGTATTCCCAGGGCGTCACAATGTCGCACACGTACACATGGCTGTTGCTGGCACCCACGGGCAAACCCGCTCCCGGCAAGGATCCATCGCCGGCATCTACTCCGTGGGCCGACGGAACTATGGCGCTCTGCAGGGCGCTGAACGCCACAATATTCCGAGCCGACACGGAGCAGAGGACCATTTTGTGCGGGAAAACACTGTCCTTGCTGAACTCTTTGCCCTCAACTTTGTACAAAATCGTCATTTTTGCAGCATAAACAAAACCCGTAGAAGACTTTTATTGTTTTGGACGCAGCGCCTGCCAACACTAATTCAACCCTTTTGGAGTTTTACAACACTCGTCAATCAGCAGGGCTTTTAAGATGGTTGTTTTCACACCAGGTTTTGTGAATTGGATTTTCGAGACTTAAGATCTTTCCTGGCCTACGAAAAAGTTGCGTTTTAAAATGGCTATAAAAAAAGAGTGATATTTAAAAAATAATGTTGTTTTCTATAGCTCTATTTGCTCTTATTTTGCTTGTAGTTGTACAGAGAAGTGCTTTCCGTTTGGAGCCATTTTCGCATATTTGAGCATAAGGAAACATTATTTTTTATAAGATAGTTTTCCAAGCAAATCCCTTAAGCAATTGCATCAAGTCTTCTTTCTCCTCTTCCAAATCAGCAAGAAACATTTATTTTTGAGTTCAACGAACCCAGATAGGTTATTCTTGTCACTCTCATATCTGTATAAAAATGCAAATAAGCTAAATGTGCCAATGGAATAAGGCACATTTAAAAGTCCACTAATATACCAAGGAAATCAGCATTTAACGTACAACATATTTGGATTGGACCATGTTCTGAACATGAATTGAATTCGATTTCCACATAAGCTTAAAGTAAGAAGGTTTGAGTTTTCGTTTTGAATTTATTCTTGTATCATGTGAAATGACCTAGAGAATACCCCTTAAATTTTCTTTTTTTAAAAACAATAATTTTGTTCAACCTAAGTTAAGTGTGAATATTGTATTTCCCGACTAAGTTTTTCCTAAGGCCGCAAAAATGTCGCGTAAAATCACTACCCAAACCCGGTCACTCTGCCTGGTTCCGCATTTGTTTACATCGGCTTATCTGGTTATAATTTCAGATTTAAATCAATGTTTGTTGTCATTTCAATGCCGCAGGTGGCTTGATCTGTGGACATAACAACAGGTGAGTAAAGTTCCCGTTCCCTAAACCCCAACTGCGCTCATCGATTGAGTTCGACAGCCTCAAAACAGAAAGCCCCTTAAACCGGCTTTTTACGCTTATCGAATCCGTGGGTTTGAAGCGATCTACTCAAAGTTTATTGAACTCTGAGGCAGCGTACATTAACTTAGGGCAATAAATACACACGCCTTACGAACTAACTTATTATGGTATCGAGTATCGCATCCGGAGCAGCTACACCAAGTTGGCGTAGCGTAGTCCCTTGACGAGACTTCCGCTGAAGCTGTCACCGTCCGTGAACAGGATTCCGTCCGCCTGGCAGGACTGCAGGCTGCACGGGTACTCCGCCCCGTAGGCACTGGTGTCCCAGCGGATCTGCAGCTCGTAGGTCAGCTCCGGATTCAGCACACATGCCTCCTCGCGACGCCAGCTCAGGTGGAGATCGCAGTTGTACTTGGTGCTTTGGCCTTGGATGACATGGCTCCACACGCGCGCAGTGGCCGGACCCTCATTCTCGGCGGGCACCTCACATAGGTCCAGGCGCAACGATTCCCGGTACTCCAGCTGCTGGACGTGGCCCAAACGGTTGGGGGTCAGCCGGCTGTTCAGCACCAGGCCCATCAGAGAGATGAACCTGGAACATTTGAGGCGCAAGCGGAACACCGGAGACTCGGCATCCACAGTAAATGGCCGGCAGGCCTTGTAGTAGCAGCGTTCCACGGAAACCACAGGAGCTGGCGCAGGAGATTCCAATTCATTGGCACCCGAAGCCACGTGCCAATCGCTCGACCCTCCACCCAGTCCGTGGACCACCAAATCCGCATCACTGGGACCCAGGCCAAGCTGCTCGCACTCCTGACGCGTCCACTCGTAAACGTACCAGATGAGCAGCTTGTGCGGCTCCTTGCAAGCGGCAATGATGGCCTTCACGCACTCCTTGGACACGTGCACGTAATGCTCCTTCAGATGGCTCTTATACTGTCCATTGTTGACACAGCAGCGCATGAAGAAGGTCATGCAGACCTCCAGCAGGCCGTCGAGGCCCATGCAAACACTCAACTCCAGAGCCGGCAAGATATTGTCGAAGCGCAGCTTGCGGGTGATGGCCATCAGCGTGTCTGTGATGAGCTCCTCCAGCAAGTACTTTTCCGCCGCATAGTACAGCTCGATGCAGGCCACCAGCTCCAGGCCGTTATAGTCCACGACGCCAGTGTAGATGTAGTTCACCAGCACCTTAAATATGGCTTCACTAATATCATCGATTTCAATTTCCGGCTCGGGATCGTTGTTCTGCAGTGGCCCAAAGAACATGGCCTCGAAAACGGGACTGGCAGTGCTCAGAATGAGTTTGTGGCACTTCACCTGCTCAGCACACACGTGGAACACACAATCCGTGTGTTTGCCCCCGTGGAGCAGCTGCCCGTAGCGCCTGCTCAGTACACCAGACATGCTGGTGGCTTCCTTGCGATCCACCGCCGAGATGCTCATCTGCGAAAGGGACAGAGAAAGGTTTTGAATATTTATGAGCCATTTGAGAACCAGTTTACAATTTGCGCGTGTGTCGTGGGGGTCATCAATCATTCAAGAGATAATGGAAACTATTTCGGCGATGGCGAATAGAAAGCGAGTCGAAAAGATTGAAAAGAATATGCGAACTCTCGTTCAAAAGAAAACAGCAACAAGTATTACCAAAATAGGTAAGCTGGTGCCAAATTAAATAGTTTATTTTATATATATACTTCTTCACAACATTTTGTAAATAAAGTGGTTTGCTTGATCAGACAATTTATTTTGAAAATTGACCAACGAATAATTATAGGATCTTTTGATAACTTTTAAAATAATTTTTATTTAAAAGTTTGTGTGTCTCATAATCTTCTAATCTTAAATGTCCGACAACAATATCTGCCTTGAAAATATTATCTGTAAAGTATGGGGCCTTTATTCGCGAATAACAAACGTGACGTAATTCGAATTGAATAATATCAATTGCCCTGCATGCATTTGATTTCCCAAGTCATGGCCAAGATCGCGGTGTCGAGTGGATGCAAACATTTGTGTATTTATGTATGTATGAAGCTATATATTTAGACAATCCCACTCATGCCAGACTTTTGTTTATCAATAAACCGAAATAATACTACGACGTGACTGTTAGCAAGCGAGTTAGTTATTCATCTATTGCCGGCTCGAGTTCGCTTTTTGCGTTTTGTTTTGGGGGGTAATATAAAACCGGTTTAAACTGTTTTTACAGATTTTAGTTGGACAAGTGTGGTTTAGGCTAAGACGACATACATATATGGTGTGCTTTACAAAATTAGTGCAAAGCGGCTGTCAGCCTTATCAAGTCGATAATTTATGAGTAGCTAAAACGAAGTTTACTATGTAAATAATTGACAATAACTCCTAACTGGCCAACCATGTTACCCATATTGATATCCAACTAATAAGCTCTATCTACCAGAAACAGGGTACCCCTTAAATGATTTGTAAACAGCGGGCTCTGCTCAGAAGTTGATCGAGTGCTAATCTCCGATTCCCTGCTTTCAATAATCCCGAACTGATCTCATGCAAATATTTATCCCCTTCGAAAACTCAATCAATTATCTGGGGATCTGCTGCGCACATTGTTGTTTACCCGACTCGAATCGTGCGATTCAGTTGCGTAAAATGTACCTTACCAAGGTGGGCAAGGGTTCACACACACGCGACCTTAAGGCTAATTTATGACTTTTTAGAACATTGGAAATGTATACATTTCCAAGAGGAAACACACCTTTTGGCACTGTGACAAATTCTTTTTCGAATAAGCACACGAACGGTTCGGTTCGTAACAAAAGCGATCTACTATGTATATTATGGTATTAGATGATTTGCGGTTTACAAAAACTAAGTTCGAAAATTAAAAGTGAATTTCACGGGTCCCTTTGGCGAGGCTAATTGAGATGATCGTCGCGTCGCGTCGCTTTGCCGCCTGAACTTGACCGATATCGCGTCTTTGCGAGCCACACGACTCGACACAGAGGCACAGCTGTCCCGAGAGATCGGAGAACTTGAGCGAAAGCGAGAACCTGAATAGCGACAACCGTCTAGCGCAACGCGCCACCTTCAACTGATCTTACTTGGTAAGGCAGAACGTTCTCCCAGCGGTTTGGGTTTGGGTTTCGGTCTCTGGCTTCTCTGCCTTCAGTTCACTCTCGCAATATGCGAAGCGATCTTTGGGCCTCTGTTGGGGCGATTTCTCTGGGGATTTGGTAGCTCATTTCCTGCAGTTTTATTTTATCCTGCAGATAGCCCAAATGTGGTGTTGTTGGCCAATGGGTTTGGCCAGTTTTAGGCGTCGTCCTCACCCATCTGCCATAGTTCTAAAGAATTCACTGGGCGATCAGGAAATGGAAAAAGCTCTTTTTTAGAGCCCAACATTTCCAGTTCACTCGGAATACCGGAGCACTAACTTTATCTTCAGAACTTTATCACCAGAACTCCAGAACTTATTCTAATCACAATTGATTTAAGAGTACAAGGCAAAGGCAAGAGTATTGGAGGCTTTGGAGGATACCAGCGGTATCTTTATAATGGCTGCTCTCCCACCTTCCCAGAGATTACAAATTAAGCGTCTGTCCGTCTTTTTTTGCTGCCAGCGATTGATGGCCAACCTTGAACCCATTCAATTGATTCTTCTTCAGTTCAGCTGGGGAAGCCAAGCACACCAAAGTTATTTCTGTAGGCTCCAGTCGATTTCATGCTCTTCTTACTACGTGGGGTATATTCGCTTATCTCGACAAGAAAATTCAAAATGATTGAGGGTAGTAGTGTTAAGGTAAGCCCATGTGTGTTAATTTAGCGTCGGGGATTTGGGGTCAATGCAATTTTGAACACTGGGCCTTTTTATTTTCTCGCTATTTAAATGATTTGAATTTTTGTCCCCCTTTTTTGTTTGGGAAAATCAAAGGTTGATTTACTTTTCAGCGATATTCTCAAAATCTATGGGTTTAATTTTAAGTAAAATTTCTGACAAGAAGCTTGAATTAACGCTTAATAGCCTGGTTAAGAGTGCATATTGGTCTAACCTCGGTGAGGGGATCAGCTAGCAAAATAGTAAAGAACAGATTTTTTAAATCCAGGCATAATTATGTTCGAATATCGCTAGATGTTTCCTTTCTTAAAATTGAAATTGAATTGAAATTCACAATGGGAATAATGTGGTGTTGGGAAAGGTACTAGTTTTTTGGAACAAAGATGTCCATCATCAAAAAAGAGCCGACAACAAAAACAATCTTGATGTAACAATCGAAATAATGGAAGCGAAATCTATATGTGTCAAATTATATTACCTAATTTTAGAACAAGGTGAAGCCATGTTACATTGATTTGTGTGTCCTAAGCACGTTTTAAAAACAAAGAAAATAACAATTTAATAAAGAAAAGAAACTATTATATATCCTTATTCCTCCAATCAACCAATAATAAAGCTCTATACAAATTTATAAATTACAAACCTTTAAATATGGTTGAAATATGTTTCCCTATATTTATAGAAGTATTAAAACTATATACAACACAGTATGAACTATTTAAAGAACCCTGGAAAAATATATAAGTTGAAAGAGTATAAATGCGTCGTTTGGGGGTATTTCGCACTTACTTCTTTGGCTCGGAGCTCGAGTCTGGCTTTGGCATGTGGCTGCCAAACAGGTAATGAGGCACTGGACTGGAGGCTGGGCCCTCACGCACATTTCCCTCAGATACACACACGTGTGTCTGCCTTTGTTGTTGTTTGCCAAGCCCTTCTTTGCCAAACCCTTTTAACATCTCCCGTCTCTCTGCCTTTGCAGCCCCCTGTGATGCACCTGTCGCCTGGGCAACTGAAAGTGGTGCTTATTCTGGCCCTGCTGCAGGAGCTGCAGGTGAAGCCTCAGAGGAATGTATTCCAGGAGCTCCTTGAGAAGGATCTGCGAGTGTGTCCTGCCTGTTTCCCTGACCAGCGTGAGCACTGTGAAGATTTCTTCCGTCGAATTTCAGAGCCCTCGGATTGGAGCCGACTGACGAAAGCCGTCTCTCTGCTGTTTGATAGACGAATGGTTTACTTCGTGGAGCTCAAAGAGGAAGAACAGGTAACCCAACTGGTGGCGAAACGCAAGCACATTGATCAATGGAAAGTCAAGAGTGAAGACCTGGAAAATGAATTCCTTGAGCAAAAGGAGCGACTTGGTGGTTTCCATCTTTGCCGAACTTTTGCAAGGAAACCACGTTTTGTTAGCTACTTGGAGCAGCGTGGATATGCCTCCACCAGTGTCTGGTTCTACATGATGCACTACGTCAGTCAGCTGCTCATGCAGGAATTGTACTCACTGGATTTCCCTGTGCCCCGCACTTTTGCCTCCTGCGGTCTAACCCATTTCCAGTCCTATGCAGGACGTAGTTTAACACATTATGTGGAAGCCAAAGAGGATCTGCGCCTGGAGCTGGCCAGTCAGTTGCTCCAACTAGCCCTTAAGCTCACCTTTGGCTTCTCAGACTTTCGCATCTACTTAACCGACTTCACGGCCGATAATTTGGCCTATGACGAAGCCAGCAAAAAGGTGATTCTCATTGATCTGGACTCCTTGGTACTGGTGGATGCCCAATCCACCTCGGGACAGGTACAGAAATACGAACCCTTGCCTGACGAGGGGTTCACCTTCGACGTTTCGGCATTCTGTTCTGGCCAGCAGTTGGATGCGAATATCTACCAGGCGTGCCTTCTGGTGCGGGATGTCTTGCTGAAGAATGTGGACAACAAGAGACTGCAGCTGCTTTTGGAGCAATGTGTTTCGTGCCAAGATGACCTCTGTGATATGCGCTTTCAGAAAGCCTACGACTTGATCAAACTGCTGGACAGCTAGAATTAGAGCCAAGGTTTGGAGATCCACTGGTAGTTAATCGTTTATAATCATAAAACACATCGAATACACTCAATTTACTGTCTAAATGAACGTCGGCCGAACTTCTTTGAAGGATTTTGGGGGAGAGGGTAGCAGCAGGGTAGTCTGCTATCCGGATAACTTAGGACTAGGACGGGCGTCGGTCCGGAGCTTAGATAATATCACGTGGCACACTCAGGAAGTGTATGGAATTGGACACATGGTGTGTGATGTCCGTCAGTGTCTCCTTGTGTACGCCCCCGAAAAGGATGAGTTCACCGTTGCCGGCAATGAGGCTGGAGAGGATTAGCCGATCCGGAGCGCCCTTGAGCACGCCGAAGTTTTTGTATTCCACCCAATCGAGGGCTGGCTCGCTGCTCTCCAAAATGTTGGAGATGTCGCACACGAACAGTGACTGGACATTGCAGCGCAATCGTTTCGGTGAAGGGGCACGCAGCGGTTGTGGTTCCACTTGCGCGGCAGCCGGTGCACTGCGTCGCGAGTTCCGGATGGCGTTCATCTTCTCCTCCATGCGTCGGATGCGCTCGTTGTGATCCCGCGACGCACTCCGCGACCGAGTGGGCACATTAAAGGCGGCCATACGAAAGGGATCCTGATCGAAAATAGTGATAATTAAGATGCTTTCTATCAGTATACTTTATCCCCTTACCTCGTACAGCTCGTCGAAGCGTTTGGGAAGCCTGGGTTCATTATCACGACAACGTAGAGCCAGATTTCTTTGCAGACGCTGAGCGGCATCCACATCGCCATCGGCGGGAGATGGAGGAGCATTTGGTCGAACTGGCGGAGATGGGGGAGAAGCAGCAGGAGGTGGGGCTGGCGGTGCGTGCAGGTCGCTCAATCTTCCCGAGCGTGGCTGGTAATTGTTGTTATTGTTGTTAACATTGCTGTTGTGCAGGAATTGCTGGGCCTGCTGCATATGCTGGTTGAGAATTGCTCGCCGGTTGGCCAAATACTGCTCCTGAGGTCCTAGTGCCGCAGCCGCCCCTCCCACTCCCACTCCGGGACGGATGTTCCCTCCGCGATTCTGGCCAGGCCCTCCCATTCCACCGCCCAGACGACGATCCGGCACCGGTATCCGCAGTCCCCTTGGAGGTAGATTTTGAAGAGGATTCGGCGGCGGCGGTCCACGACCGCCCACGACAGGGACTCTGCTCTGCTTCATCAACTGGAAGTCCTGCGGCATGTTGGGCGAGGGTCCCACCACCACCAGGTAGTTGTTGACCTTGCAGCCGGGATTGCACCACATGTGGACGGCTCCGAATCGCTTGTTGCGCACATTGAGTGACTTCCAGGACCACACATCCCTGGTCATGTCCAGCAGCCAGGCATCGGTGTACACCCGATTGGCGCCGCCGCATCCTCCCACCACAAGCAGGTGGTTCTTGCCCAGCTCCACCTGGATTTGTCCGTACCGCGGACTGGGTCGCGTGTTGCCCACGAAAAGCGGCTGCCACCAGCGCTGCTCCGGCAGGTCAAGCACCCACGTATCGTTCGAGTTCACGTTGACATCGTCCTTTATTTGGTAGCCGCCAAAGATGACCATGCGATCGCCGTGCACGGTGGCCGAGTGTCCAGCCATGGGCGGTGGGCAGGACAGTGAGTTGCGCAACAGCCAGCGGTTCTTGGCCAGATCATAGTAGTGCAGCTCGTCGAACAGACACCACGGCTGGTATGGCGGATGCAGCGAAGGATAGCGCCAGCCGCCAAAGAGCACCAGCTGATCCCGCCACGCAACCATGGAGGCGCTACCCTTGGGCGACGGATACGTACCGGTGGCCACCGGCCGCGCCCATCGCATGTGCGTCAAATCGAAGCGCCAGAGATCGTTGAAGGTCGTGTCAGAGGAGGACCCGCCGCCAAACACGTACATCGAGTTGTCATGCCGCACGGCCGAATGGGCAAAGCGTCCGGCGATAAAGGACAGGGGTGCTCCTGCCACGCCATTGGCGTTCTGCTGGGAAAACACCTCCCAGCGGAGCTGGAAGTCGGTGAGTCCCTTTTTAAGGTTCAACTGGGAGCGGCGCACGAGATCTGGGGAGGGCAATAAGTATGAATAGAGGGAACAATGGCCTTCAATGCTAGTTACCCACTCTTTACAATGGCGTGCCAGCGCTTGCACACCAGACTGCAGTGCTCCAAGTCCCCGTAGGGAGGCAGGTAGGTAAAGATGAACTCCAGTATCTCATCGGGCAGGACATTCAGGTTCACTGGGGCCAAGGTCGCCTCACAGTTGTCGTTCTCGCCATCGACCTTGTGGCTGCACGCGTCCATACTCTGCGATGTCCTTGCTGCCTTCCTTCCTTCCTTCCCTCCTTCCTTTCAGGCGTTCGTGGTGCCCTTCACCTTCAGATGCTGCACCACAGAAGCAGCAAATGGCAGCGAAAGATCTTATGTCGCTTGGAATGGCAATGGGACTCTGCTCTGGCTAATCTCCAGATGATTTCGGGTTTTTTTGAGGCAGCTAAAATAAATTATAAACAGTAGCCAGCGAACGGTGTGACCGTGCTTGGAGTCACGAACAATACCACGAGGCACCGAAAAATATACCGCACTTCTAAGAACCACACTAGGAATATACCGTAACTATTGTTTTGGTATTCTCCTCACGACTGATCTGTCGAAACTTTTCCTTTCGGTCAGCTGTTCTATTACATTTTGGATATTCCCCAAACATCTGAATCATTTTGGGTATTGCTGATGATAATGTTTTTCTGTAGATTAAAACATGGTGCAGGATGGAGGACAGTTTGGTCCAGTCTTTGCCGTTTAGAAACTCTGCCAAATAGTTAAAATTGGACATATTCCGATAAAGTGATCGACATTTTCAATTTCGCGAAGAATACAAAAGCTGCATTCGTTGTTTGAAAAGTTCCAATGGGGTCTATAGCGGCAATATATCACAACTAGCTCGGCAGATATGGGTGTGGAAAGTATAATGACAAGATAGTGGAATCGAGCCATTAGCTATGACAACAAAAAATGCCCTTCTCTAATACCCGCGTTTCGTTGTGAATGGCAAACAGCTTGTTCGAATTTCACATGTAGCTTTCAATTTGTTTATTTGCATTTTGCGGCCGAAATGAGCGCAACAAGTGACAAAAGGGTTGTAATAAACAAACGTTTAAAATGTCTGCCCCGAGAGGCGCTGGAAAAACTGAGCCAAACGGAGCTTATTGACAAGGTTGTCCAACTGGAGGCCTACAACTTTCAGTTGCGGAATCTGCTACAGAAAAAGTTAACTGAACAGGACAAAAACGATGAGGAATATTCTGTATTATTTGAAAAAGATGCGGAAGAGAGAATCTCTAAGGAGACAAAGATATCCAGCAAGATGCAGAAACAACGAAAGTTCGATTGGAGCAGGTAAGTGGTTGTTCATTTGGTAGATTTATAAAGCTTCATGGATTCCCTTTCAGTGTCCACAGGCGACATGTTTTGCTGAAGATTACCTACTTTGGTTGGGATTATCAGGGGTTTGCCTGCCAGGAGGACTCCAATGATACCATCGGTATATACCTCACCTAGCTGCTAGTAAATTTGTATTAAATTGTTCCTCCTTCCTATAGAATCCAACTTGTTCCGTGCTCTCAGTCGCACTTGCCTCATCGAATCCCGTGCCAGCTCCAATTATCACCGCTGTGGACGCACCGACAAGGAGGTGAGTGCCTTCTGCCAGGTGATCTCCATCGATCTGCGCAGCAAGCACTCACCCAAAACTCAACTGAATCCCGATGCTCTGTTATCCGAGATCGACTATTGTGGACTCTTGAATCGAGTGCTGCCCAAGAACATTCAGTGTGTGGCCTGGATGCCACTCCGTAGTCCTGTTTACAGCGCTCGTTTTGACTGCATTTCGCGTAGCTATCGTTACTATTTCCCCAAGGGCGATCTAGACATTTCTGCCATGCAGGAAGCCTGCAATCTCCTAGTGCGCCACGCGGACTTTAGGAATTTCTGCAAAATGGATGTGCACAACGGAGTGACCAACTATATGAGAAATTTGCAATCAGCAAGGGTGCAAGCTTGTGAGGAGAGGCTACCAAATACAGGTAAGTACTGGTATTAAAGTCACATCTAACCTCTATGAATCCGCACTTATTCTATTCATATTTCTCAAAGGCTACGACATGTACTACTTGGAGATCCAAGCCAATGCTTTCCTCTGGCACCAGATTCGTTGCATCATGGCAGTGCTCTTACTTGTTGGTCAGGGGAAGGAGAAACCAAGCGTTATAAGCGACCTGCTTGATGTGGACTGCAATCCCTGCAAGCCTCAGTACACACCAGCCATTGGTCTGCCCTTGAACCTTTTCCGTTGTGATTTCCGAGACAAGACCACCAGAAGTGTAAGCCATCCTGCTGGCGCGGATGCAAATGAAGAGGCCATGGATACAGCCCCGGAGGAAACCGAAGGCTCGAATGCTTCTGATCACCAAGAAGAACGCGATCTTACAAACTGGATTTACAGTGAGGAAAATTTACAAAAGCTTATTGAAAACACTCAATGCGAGTGGACGCAGTTTAGTGTGAAAAGCACCATGATAAAAAATGTGCTTGAGCAACTGGAAAGCTTACTAGAGGAGAATTTTAAGCCCAAAGAGAAGGTGCTGGCCCAAGTGATCCTGCTGCAGGATTCAGTCAAACCGCGTCAATATCAGCCTCTCTTGGAACGCAAACGTTGTGGTAGATATTTCCAATACATAGTATAAACAAGGCTTTATAATTAACTTTTTTTTTATTAACAGAGAGCTTGGAGAATCGGATAGAACATTTTGTAAAGAAACAACGACTTATTGTCAAGAATGAAACGACAACGGGGGATTAGCTGTAATAAACTTTCAAGAAAACAAATCTTATATTCAAGTGTATTATTGCTCTTCAGGTAAATATATTTCACTTGTATGTATTTAGAACTTGTACAACGTTTCGAACCTTAGTCTAGTCTAGAATGAGTAAATAATTTAAAATTGTAACTCCATACAACTGCTTACATACTATTTGGGATTCTAGATGCTACATTTATAGAGTCTGTATATAAGTATAGTTCTTTCAAGGGGCTTTGTACGATTACGAAAAAAGACTTCACTTAATTAATGAAGCTAACAATTAAGGGGATTAAACAATGCAGTTTATCAGGTATTATCATCGGGATAAGTCAAATTAGGTATTAACTAGCAACCCATTGATTTTGCCTTCTGCAATCTGTAAAACGGAAAATGAAACGTTAGAATCGTATTTAAGAGATTAAGATTAGCTATGCTGTACTTACTTTCTTCTCAAGATCTTTAGCACAAGGGTGCCTTCTCTAACATTCTTAAAGAGTCCTATGGTTTCAGCATGGCTCATTCCCTGCACAGAGTTGCCATTGATCTCCACTATCTCATCGCCTGTTGGGGATTAATTTTAGTTTAAATTTTGTAATTTTGTTTGCTCATTAAAGATTTACCCGCTTGCAGTGTGCCATCATCGGCAGCCTGACCCGAGGGAAACACGGTCTTCACAAAGATTCCCATATTGCCCTTGGGCGAATCGCGACCTCCCACAATGCTGAAACCCAAAGATTTCAGTCCAGGTCCCTTGAAGAAGGTAATAGTCTTTGGGGTGCAACGACCACTTCCTGGAATTTTAAAGAGTGTTTAGTTTTGAAAGGGAATACAAACCCATGTGTCATGTTTTGTTTTAACTTATCAGTTTTGTATTAGTCACTTTCAGTAATTTTAGTTGAAAGGGAATAGCTTTTCATTATCACTTCTTTCCAATTAACAGTCTCAAATATTTAAGGTAATTGCTAATCAGTCTTTTGGAGTACTTAGTGGTTTATTGGGTTACTGATTCTCACCCTCGCTCATGGACGCGCGTATGACCTCCGCCATTTCCTCGTCGCGTATGGTTAGCTTGGCCACCGGCAGCGATGGCCTGTGATGCATTAGGGCGGCGGCAGGCGGTGCCAGCGATGAGCCTGCTCCGGCCGATGTGGATGCCGATGCTGATGCTGGTGAGGATGAGGATGAGGCGTTAACATAGGGATTAGGCGAGAACAATGAGACGCTCTTTGGCGAGTGCTTGATGTACAGTGATTGGTGTGTCTGTTGCTGGTGTTGCTGGTTTTGCTGCCGCTGGTTAGTGAGATCAGTGGTGTTGGTGGTGGTGTCTGTGTCTGTGGCTTTGGCTGTGGAGGATGGGGAGTTAGCCCCGTCCCCGACGGTTAGACTGTTAGGCGGGGCCTGCATGAACAGACTGAGGCGCGACGAGCTCAGCCGCGAGTGGGCAAACCGGAGCGAGCGGTAGTGCGAGTTGGCCAGGTTAATGGAGTTCCTGGCGTAGTGGGTGCGCTGGCCAAACTGCTGGGGACTGGGGGCCGCGGACAGGGCGGCTCCCTCGGAGCAGCGCTTCCGGGCCAGCAGCTGCCACTTCTCGTCGTCCGCCAGCGAGGAGGCCACGCACACGCTCGCCGCCCGGCTTGCATACACCGGCGTATAGGAGTCGGTGTCTTCGTTAGCGGGGTCGTTCTCGCTGTCCAGCAACCGGTGGTTAGGGGAGGAGGAGCAGCTGCTGCTGCTGCTGCTGCTGGCAAACAGCGGGGTCGGTGTTAGAGCCAAGCTGCGCTGACCTGAGGAGCTGCGGGCCCGCCTCCGGAGCAGCTCGTGCTCCGGCCCGCCCACTTCCAGCGAGTGACGCGGCGTGGAGCTCCGGCGATGCTGCATCAGCGGCATCGGAGTGGGCAGCGTGCTGACACTGGCCAGCGATCGCGCATCGCACTGATCCTCGCCCTGGCCATCCGGTTCCTGGTCCTGGTCGTGATCCTGTTCCAGGTTCTGGCCCTGGATCCTCTCCTGCTGCAGCTGTAGACTCTGCATGCTGGTCAGACTGTCCGTGCTCTGGGTGCGCTGCACGTAGCTCAGTCTGTGGCGCTGCGTGCTCATCCCATCGATCCGGATTTTGGTGTAGAAATCAGTGACGGTGGTCACCTCATCGTGGGCGATCACCAGGTCGATGCAGTTGTCCACGAAGCTGCTCAGCAGGCGCTGGACCTCCGCAAAGGACTGGATGCCGCGCAGGTGCTTTCCATTCACGTTGACGATCTCATCGCCCAGACGAAGGCGGCCGTCCCTAAAAAAAATGGTGTAAAATATGTAAGTATAAAATAAATAAATAAAACATGATACCAAATTGTAAGTTTGTCAAAAGTGCATCCTTCTTTGTACAAAAAAAATCGTAGCTAGTTATATACTTAATTATGTTTTTAACGCGGTTTGACAAAAAATAGCTACATTAAAAGATATTATTTAAGATATCTTTAAGAGTGTGTGATCCTATTAATTAGGACACTTAAAATTAAATTGCTTAGATGCCATTGCTTATATTTGCATTGCAATTTCCATATCTTAATTAAAACAAAAGTTATGAATATTTGAATAGATGTTCACCTCTTTTTACAATACTTTCGTGTGGTGAACAGGCTTAAGAAAATATAAAGAAAAATGACTAAATTTTAATATTATACATGCGTGTAGTGGCGGCTCTTTTCTATTTATTTATTATTTATTTAAGATACTAAACACTAGTGTAAGTCAAATTTTGTAATTTATAGATTATATTCTTTCTGAATATTTTAATAGTAACTTTTGAGATCACTTATGAGAGTGTCTAAAAGTATGCAGTAAAAAACAAAACGTGGTTATTCGGAACGAATTCATCAGAGTTTCAGACTAAAATATATCGCTGCATACTTTTAGATTTTTGGTTATTTAATTAAAAAAAAAAAATGAAAAAAAATTAATTCCTCATTCTCTTTCTACTCACTTCTGTGCCATGCCATAGGGTTCCAGTTCCACGATGAGATACCGATACTGCTGCTCATTGCTGTTGGTCATCACCGTCTTGGGCGACAGGACAATGCCGATGTAGTCCTCCTGGCACTTGCGCTCCAGCTTCAGTTGCCTGAACCTCCGCCTTATGGTCTCCGTCTCGTAGTCGTAGTTGTAGCCACCCAGCGAGACGGGGGCACTGCAGATGCTGCTGTTCCTTGTCGACGGAGTCGTCGCACCCATTCCCATTCCCATTCCCAGTCCTAAGCCCAGACCCATGCCCATGCCCATGCCCATGCCCACGCCCTCTGACGAGCTGAGGGAGATGAGCGAGTTGCGCTTGAGCGTGCCCGAGGCAATAGATTCGGTATCTCCGCCGGAGATGCTCAGATTATTGCCCAGCCGGGCACCCGTCGCACCCCCATCGCTGTCGTAGCCGGACTCGTTCGAACTCAGGCAACTGCTTAATCTTTGGTAAAGTGGTTCCCAGTCCTTGGAGGTGATGCTGTCGTTGCGCGACACGTTGCCCAGCATCGCCTGTTCGGGGGAGCGTCGCTGTGGCAGGGGCGACGAGGCCTGCTCCTGCTGCAGGAGATCCCTCTGATCCCTCTGATGCTGCTGGTTCTGCTGATGCTGCTCCCGCTGCCGTTGTACTTGCTGCTTGAGGTGGTGGCCCGGTCCGTTGCCGTGGTTCTCCTCCGGCAGGACGGAGAGGCGTGACCGCAGGAAGGCGTATGGAAAGGCTCCACGTCGCGAGGGATCGTGTTGGCCACTGGCAACGGCTCCTGCTCCAACTCCCGCACTTGCTCCTGCTGCTGCACCGCCAGCTGCTGATCCACTGGGAGGAGATGCCAGGCTGCCGGCAGCACTGTCAGCACCGCTTGTGCTGGAAGTCAGGCAACTGCTCACCTTGGCTATGTCGTCGCAGCTGCTGGACTTCAGGCTGGCAATCCGCGGCAGGCGCTGCTCCCGCTGTTCCCTGTGGAGATTGAGGCCCTCGGTGGGATCGTCGCACTTGACGTAGGAGCAGCTGGACAGCTGGCTGGTGGAGCTGCTCCTGTACAGCGTGGTGGCCGCCGGCGTGGCCTGCTGTGACGCCTCCGAGGCCTTCAGCAGGTTGTGGGAGCGGTGGTTTAGCATGCCGGTGGACCCGATCCGGTGAAAGAAGTTCTTCAACGCCTTCTGTGGGCGGGCGGCCGCCTGGAACTGATGCGTGGGCGTGGACTGGGCACTCTGGCTCACCTCCTGGGCCAACTGCTGCTGTTGCTGCTGCTGCTGCTGCTGCTGACGCTGCTTGACGGTCTCGATGGGCCCCGACTTGCACTTCTTGAGGGTGCTGGTCGTGGAGCTGGAGCTGGAGCTGTTCTGCTGGCCACCAGTGGAGGAGGTCGAGGGCTTCGCCGAACTGGGTCCGCTGCACCCACCGGATCCACTCTTGTGATGCGTTGGCGAGTGGAACAGACTCCGCAGATCCGAGTGCGATTTGTGGGCGGCGGCGGGCGAGTCGCTGCGCTTCAGCAGATCCAGTTTGCGACTCATGCGCTTGCCCCAGGTGAAAACTGCGAGGGGAGAAGGGAAAAGAGCAGAGGAGCAGAGGATTTGCAATCAGAAAGCGATTTCTAACTTAATTATAACACTTCAATAAATCTCAACGCCTCGCCACAAGTTGCCACAAGTCGCCGCAGTTGACCTGACAGATGAGAAATGTCCATGGACAGGGCTCCACATGGACTTGATCTTGGACATGGCCCATGACAAACCAGCAATCCAGCAATCCAGCACTTCAGCACTCCAGCTGCATTGTGATCAGCCACGGCCTGCCACGTGTTTGTGAAAAGGCATCCGATTTCAAGGCATTTGCGGTTGGATCTCCCCCCACAAAAAGTCGCAAAAAAAAAGGGGTTCGGCCCTAAAGATCTTTCGAACTTAAGTGACGGTGAAGCCTCTTTACAAGAAATGGTGCTTGGGCAGAGTTGAGATAGTCATATTTAATAAGTAAGACTCAAATATTTAGTGCCTCTCTCTGCGATTCTCAAAGTTTTTACTATGACAGTAGATTTCAAATTCAAATGGTTCCTATTAAATTCGAATCTCCAATTCCATTATAAATTTGATGGCTATAGTTTAATCCAAAAGCGCTAAAAATAAACCATAAGAGAAATATTCTATAGATGCGCAGATGAGCATCTCTTGGTCATCGAACGATCGTGATTCTGCACGGCTATTGAGCAGTAAACACACCTCAATTACTAATAGAGCATAACCAATCATTAAATGGACTCGTATTGCCCATCGCCCAATGCATATCTAATAACATCGTAAAATATTTTAACGTTCGGGCCTTAACAGCAATTGCAAACACTTAAAAATGCAAACAGAATGGGCGCTAGAACGCTCCTCTTCGAATCTGATTAATAAACAAATTTATGCGCTTGTTCCATATTTATCGCCCGAAGATGAGGTGGTGGGCCAGCGGGACGAGGACGGCGACTGCGACGGGAACGGGGCATTTACGAACAATTAGCATAAAACATGAACAGCAAAAGATTCGAGGGATCAAGAAGGCTTCGCATTGCCATTGACTTCAAAGCGCATTATACGGCTCCCCAATAAAATTTCCAAAACTATTTCCATCAAAACGGAATGGTCGAGTGGGTGGGTGGGGAGCTGTTACCCAAAACCGTGACCAGTGATGCCAGCTAGTGACTCAGGTCACTGATTAGCCCACTTCATAGACGCAGGATTGCGTTCACTGCGAGGATTCAATACACGTTATTTGAAAAGCATCTGGACGACAAAAACTAAGCATTTTTATGTAAAGTTAAAACCATTTTAAATCTTAAAAAAAAATTCCTTTCAAGATGCTGTCAAAGTTGAAATCACTGATACAATTTTTGCATAGCATTACAAGCACAACTCTAGGCCCTAAAACTTTGGGCTAAAAGCAATCATGGCGACCTATAATGTATGATCTGATATGTATTGTATTTTAAATTGATAAAATGCTTTAAAAACTATAATCTTAAAAACTATAATCTTGTTTTGAAGTGAAATTATATCCTGATAAAAAGCCTTTCATCTTTGCTAAGCCAGTATTTATTTTTTCGACTTGTCATACGTTATAACCAACTAGATAAAATAAATCATAAACCTCTACTGTGTGAATAAAATAAAAATAGCAGGAAGATAAAGTCAAATTTCATTGTGGCGAAATCCCTCTCAGATGATTTTTTTCATTGCCATTGAGTCACTGCCTCCAACCAGTGGTCACTGGGTCTGCTGTGAGACATCTCTGGCATTCTCCAGCTTCTTTCGCTGACTCGTGCCAAAGTTGTTTAATAGCCGCAGCCCAGCCGCGGGCTTTGGTCCGTTCAAATTGCCCTGGCTTCGGCCATGTGTGGGCGCAGTGGCTTGGAAGCCGGGAAGCGGACGCAGATGAGGATGAGGATGATGGTGATGGTGATGATGATGATCAGGAGGCGCTGGGAGGGTGAGGGGTGGTCCGATCCGGAGCCAATGCAGGTTGACAGCCGCTCCAAACGGCACAACTCCACCCAAGGCCTGACCGAGTTCGCCTTTGATTAAAGTTTTCACCATTGCAATCACACAACCGAAGGAAATGGGGGGCAGGATGAGAGGGGATGGGATAAGATGGGATGGGATGGGATTGGATGGGAGGAGCGGCAGCAGAGTGTTAAACAATAATAGGAAACGGCGCGCGGGCATCAATTATATGACAACCTCAGCCACACTCCAAAAGACTCTGCCGGTTTCCCTCCCCATCTCCATCTCCATCTGCAGTCACCGCCGGCCACATGCCACAAATTCTACACCCACTTAACTTTCAAGACGGTGTCAAATGCCCGCCAGCCAAGAGGCCCGTTTCCACCTCCCCTCCCCAGTTTTCCATTCCCCCCTCAAAAAGTCGCTAGGCGGAGATGGCTTTGTTGCAATTTTGCCGGCTGACATGCAAGCGATGTTGAGGCAAAAGCATTTGAGACCCAGAGAGCTGGAACCAAATCTTAGAACTGAACATCTGAAGTGGTCCAGAGGAGGGGGAAAAGGGGTTGGTGAAGGATGAAGTGGAGTTTTCCAGAGTTGCCAGAGGATAGTCCCAGAAATCTAAGCTTACTTGCAAAACATTTTCTTAGTAACTGACTAAATATTTCCAAGATATATATAAAATAAAAGAGCTATCTGAAAAAATTCATTATTTATATGGTTTAACCTTTTTTAAATGAGTTTTTAAGTTAACAAATTACAAATACATTTTTTGTTAAAATTAATTGAACTCAAATATAATGTGCTACTTAGAATGCATTTTCTTAAAGAAACAAGGGTTTATTTAAACAAAAATAAATCATTTAAAGAGTCATGAGCATGCAAAAAATACCATTATTCCAATCTCAATTGATATGCATCAGAAAATCCCGCACAAAAACATATAAAAGTGCCCCAAAAAAGTTCAATAACCAAAAGCCATGGGAAAGGCGGAATACTTGAGTACTTTACTTTATGCAAATGTGCACGCAAAAGCCGCGACTTTGTGCCACTTTCAGATCAAATGGAATCGACATCGACATCGACATCATCATCTGAATCAGAATCAGAATCAGAATCGAAATCAGTTTGGGAATCGGGCAGAAACCAAGTGCAGATGGCATGCAGTAATATCTCACGTACGAGTGCCAATGCGAACTGGGGAGAATTCCTCGACTTGGCAGACTTGGTTTTCCATAACGGAATGGAGTCGGCGGGCAGTGAGAGATCGATAATCGGTTTTGAAACCAAGTCGACGGGAACATGTAATAAGCGATAATCCACAATAAATGCGCATGCGTGCAGCGCCAGCAAAAACAGCATCAAATGGGAAGGAGCTAAAGCTGTAGCTGAAGCTAAAACCATCCTCGAACATCAACTGGATCGCGAAAATTATAGCATTTATGCTGATAGAGGGGCGCAAAGTCTTTATTGATTTCTCATCATATTTTTTTCGAAGCTTTTTCCTTGGCTTTCGATGAAAGCAATTTACAATTGCGAAAATATAAATGTTTATTTAGCTATATCTGGTCTTTATAAACATTAATTGACCTTGAGGCGGCGGCACACTTGGCAAAAAATTTTAATTAAAGCCAATTAAGTCCGGCATTAGAGGCGGCAAAAGCTCAACGAACTTAGAATGCGACTTTAACATGCAATGGCGATGGCGATGGCGATGGCTTTAAAGTGGCTTTCGAGTGGCTTTGAAGTGGCTTTGGAGTGGCTACAGCTTCTGCTTTAGCTACAGCCCCAAGATGAATGAATCTTGCGGAGCAACAGCTGCAGATTCGAGCGGCACCTGATAAAACCTGCGCCATATCTTCTGGCCCGACTTGCAGCTGTTTGGCCGCTTTTGTCAGCCGGCATCTTAGAATGCAATCATCAAACGTTTTGCGGTTGCCGATGAGGGGTAGAAAACATTATTTGGATTGCCGTTTTGCTATAACTCGGCCTATAATGACGCTCTGCGGTCGTCAGAACAGCCGTGGAAAAGTGAAATCGGAAAATGTTTGCACATAGTATAGATAGATGGTTCTTGCTTTCTTTCGTTGCTCACATTTTTGCCATATTTGATTGGCTTTTCTATTTTGATTTCCCAATCACTTCATCAGCCACTTCCTGCCCTCATTTCTTCGCTTACCTAACTAGCTGGCTCCAATACCCATACCATTTCTTTTTCACAACTCCACCCATCTGAACAACGCTAGACCTCAATCACATATCATATCACATAACCGGCAAAAATAAGTAAAATACTCTTTGTGCGAATCATTGAAACTAAACTGAACTCAACTGAACTGAACTGCACTGAATAGCATATAATGCCCGGCTTTGTCACACTTGGTCGGCTGTTGACTGGGAGCTATAATACACTGAGAATAACACATGTTTAAAATGTAATGCTCTAATAATGTGTATAACTAGAAATTGAAACTACATTTCCAAATCGACAGATAAACTAATGTTTCTGCTCATTCTTTTCATGAATTAAGATGCTTTATTGAACAGAACATATTCCCTTATTGATTGTGTATTTTTTCGCGTGAAGTATAGGCTTTTGGTTGCTCGCAAAATGCGAGACCACAGCCAGTCCCAGTCCTCTTCACTTCCAACTCGTGCCGAGCTGAAAACAATACGAATTCCAGTTGCAGACATCGGATCGCATTACGGCGGCAAAATCGGGTCAATACGGTATTTGGGAGTGTGTGGCATACGACAAAACACGCATCGTATCGATGACAATTGCAACTGATTGGCACTGATTTACACTCCGCTAAACACGGAAGCACTGGGAGTGCTGGCTCCTATGTTTAGCTTCGGAAATTAATTGTTTCAATTAAAATGTGCTCGAAATTGAGCTCTTAATACCTGCCGACTGACAACACACTCTCAGCGGGCCTATAATTTATGGCATCGTTTTCCCCAACAGCATTGTTCAGGCAAAGGTGCCCCTTCCAATTGGCTCGAAAATAAAATAAGTTCCGTAGAGGAAAACACTCGAGGCGCCGCCACTTGATGGGAAAATCAATTTCCAGGCATTTTCCCGGATTTCGGTTCTATTTTTGGCCATGGTACTTACCATTCCTTGTGGTGCTGGCCAAAGAAGCGGAGCTTCCACTGTGTGAGTTGCTGTTGCTGACGTCATGGCTGTTGCTGTTGCTATTGCTGCTGTTGATGTTGCTGTTGCTGTTGCTGCTGCGACTCAGCTCATTGGATGGCAATGAGCTCGATTTGTGTTCATCGTCCAGGACAACAACTGGCACCGCTGTCACCAATTTGTAGTCGGGCAGGTGACCTGTGGAGAACGAAGGGGTCTCAGTTTTGTTTGAGAAAACAAGGAAACGAGTACCAGGCCATTGGCCCTTTTTATTCGGCGGGGATTATCACGAAAGCGGGCGATAAGGGCGAGATTTCAGGAAATGCTACAGTGAAATCTGAACAAATAAAGAATTTATAGATCAGTATAATTAAGATTTTCCATCGCAATGGTCGTCCACATCTCAGTCATTTTATTACTGGGATTAAGTTCGTTTTTAAGCCCAGTTCAAGCGGTGATTAGTGGCGATATATACGGACCTCTGGTTGAACTTGTGGTCAAACACCTAAATGGCAGTCATTTGGATTGGGATAATTGGACTACGAAAATGAGTTTGACTTTGGAAAGTAAACAGCAGAAGCGAGTGGCATGGAATATTCCCTGGTCGCACTTGCTGGAGGATGAAAAATCACCACTAGAAGTGCAACAACAACTTAGTCCCGGAAATTCTTTTAAGCTGAGGCTTTGGATGAGCTACTATTGGTACCTACGACGATCTCAGCTCATGAATGGGATTCTTCTCGCAAACTTTGCCCTGGAATTGGGGAAACTCCAAAGAAATAAACCAGAAGTATGGAACAATGATGTCCAAAACATGTGGCAGAGTTTGCCAAGATCTCTGAGGATATTATTGAAGAGTCGCACCGTATGCCTGCAACACAAAAAGGAGATGTTGTATGTGGCAGCTGAAAAACAACTGATCTTGGGCGCCAATAGCAACTGTAGTATGTGGGTGGTTGATGATAGGAACGATCACCAGCTAGAACTAATGAATTTCTGTGATGATAAAACCACTTTATTCATCAGGACGTTATCACCTGACGGATCGCATGTCTTGCTCAGTGTCCGCAACAATTTAGATAGACATTTTTGTGTGCTAAATGGCATGAGTTTCTATGAAGAAGTCTCCGAGGCGTCAGAAATGGAAAGCCGTTGCCATTGGCAAATAAATGATTGCACCTTTTTACCTTTTACATTTTCAGCTTATAATAAAATCTAGATATTCGGATATAAAAATGTACTTAATATCAGGTATCAAAATTAAAATGTTTACTTCTATATTGTATATATTTGTATCTTTTCAATCTCGGTTTTTATATCAAAATCTATTTTATTGAAACAAAGACAAAGTTAAAGTTACTGTAAAGTTTTTTAATATTTTTAAGCTTTTAAATGATTTAAAAACAGAGTAGATATCGATTAACTGGGATATAGCGAAAGGAACTTAAGATTTTGGCTCTGGTTCTTATAAAAATAAGAATTTTAAGGATATTTAAGAGCCAGCTCTTATGCATTTTAAGAACAATCAAATTTATATTTTTTTTTGGAATTTTTAAAGAAGGTCAATCCCGCAGTACCCCCTATAACATTGTTTTAATTTGGTATTTAATGGAAAATACACAGTGCAACACGGAATGTCTTCGCATTTGAATGGTTTCCAAACCTAGTCCTATTTTGGTTTCAGCGGCTAAGGCTCTATCTTTTAAGAACATTTTCATATTTTGCATCTTATCTTTAAAATGATTGCATGTAAAAATATATGTTTTAAAATGTAAATTTTGTAATTTTTCGCTTATTCATAAAAAAGACTTTAAATTTAAAAAAAATACAATTCCATACACAAGCTTTCAAAATTTCATTCATTCTTAACTAAATTTAACTGTTTAAAGAAAAAACATATGGAACAAATTGTGGCCGTTTCGATCTTCATTCAAAAAAAGGGTTTATTTTAGAATATTTTTTATTTTTTCTTGTTTTCTAATTTTTTGTTTTCTTGGATATTCTGTTTTATATTATATTTTCGACCTAAGAAAGTAAGTAAGAGAAAAATCTCCTTTAATTTAAAAAAATAACCTTAGGGGGAAATTCAAGGGTAACTTTAAGATCAAAATAAGGGTCTTTGTTTTGAGTGCAAGAGGTGTTACTCACCATTTGGGGTCAGGGATCGACTGCTCTTGTTGCTGCCCGCCCCTCCGCTGGCGTTGGCCCCCTTCTCGTATAAGCAACTGCTGGAAGCGGCGTGCAGACGCTGGGCAACATATTGCTGGTACTGGGCAGCGTGTTGCTGCTGCTGATGCTGCATGGTGGCAATGCTGTTGGTGCTGCCATAGCTCAGCAGCAGTGTTGCCGAGTTGCTGCCAGTGTTGACATTGCTGCCAAGTTTCGTGGGCACTGGCACATAGATGGTGGGTGGCTGATGTTGTTGCTGTTGTTGCTGCTGTTGCTGCTGTTGGCGATGCAAACTGGTGGCCTCTTGAAGCGACATCACCGATATGGCCGATGGTGTCTGCCGTCCACTTAGTAGACATGTGGGCGTGGCCGTGCGTAACGGCTGCTGCTGCTGGTGTTGCTGCTGATGCTGCAGCTGTTGCAGACCGCCGGCAGAGGTTGCTGCTGTGCCGGTGGCTGTTGCTGTGACCGCTGCCGTGGCGGTGGCTCCATTGCTGGTCAGGGTGGTGCAGCTGAGTATCATGACGGGCGACTTGTCATGCAGATCAGGCAGCGATGAGGAAATTGCGCTGCTGCTTACAACGCTCTTGTTCAGTCGGTTGCTGCATGTTGCCGGCGTGTGACCTTTGTTGTTGCTGCTGCTCGGGCAAATGCTGCTGCTGCTGCTGTTGTCGGCTTGCTGTTGCTGCTGTTGTTGCTGAGCGGCTAGTGTGCTGTAGGTGTCCGTAGATTTGCGCGTTTTGAAGAGACGCATACTATGTTGCTGTTTCTGTTGTTACTGCAATTGATAGAAAATTGTGGGTTAATTATCGGGAAAAGCGAAATTAGAGTAGAGCTCTTTTTGGCCAAAAATTTGTCTGCAATCTCCCTCAACATTCCCTATTTGTTCGCAGCTGTTGCTTTTTTCGTCCAACGGAGCGTATAATTAACGCAAATTGCAGCAAATTTTGAAGTTTTGCTGCTGCCACAGTAACTTTAGCAAATAGCATGGCCATTGAACGACTATTGATTTCCTACTTTTTTGGCTTCGATATGGAAATGGAAATGCTCCAGATAACAGTTGCAAGACGCTGATTAATTCCCAGCTCAATGGGTTTATTTACAGAGCGGTTGTGATGAATTGCTCTATTTATAGAGTAGTTTGTTGTCTAAAAATAAATGCAAGTACTCCCTTCGCCTATCAACCGCTTATCAGCTGGACGGTACTTCCCCGTAAGCTAATGGATCTGTCGCCTTATCGGTTCAATAAACGCATTAAAGGTGATTATCAGACGGTAATAATAAATAACCGAAAACACACTGTACATATGTACATACCTGTTTTATGTGGTCTTATATAATATTTGCTCAGTCGTCGGGGGCTTTTGTTTTTACCCACTGCTGGCATGGCAATGTTTGCTTGACATTTTTTCTTGTGACTAGCGTGGAAATCAAGGAAAGTCAACGCCAGGCGGCGAAGGTCAACCAACAGCTGTCGAGTGGGTGGCCGGGCGGGCATTGAACCACTCAACCGCAGCGCAACCACAACTGGAGATGGCCAATTCACCCAACTGCCTTTTACTTTTCAAATAAGCCAACCTAGTCAAAGTTAATTTGATGTTTTACGAGCCTGCTGCCCAACTAGCCGGAGCTAGCTAGCCAAGTTAGCTAAGTTAGCCAGCTGCAATCACCGCATCTTGTGGCCCTCAATGCGGTTAATTGATGTGACATGTGCGTGTGCATAGGCGAACGCATTTTGTGCATGGACAAAAATATTTAGAGTGATCAATATAATCTGGCGTTAGAATTATACAAATATACGAATATAAAAATATCACTTTTTAAAAATATTCGCAAATAAATCAAAATTTAAATGTATTAAAGAATATTTAATTTCTGCAAAAGCTGCAAGGGTATAAAAACGTCGGCTTGTCGAAGTTTGCTTCCTTTTTTGTTTGTTTGGTCTTAACTCAAGTTATTATATCTCTCAAAAATGTTGTCACTATGTTTAAAGAAAAATAGCTTCTTAAATATCTGCCCGATTTTTCTGCGATAACTGTAGTTAATGAAGAGTTTAAAAGTGTTCAAAAGTTTAAATCTTTTTTTAAAATCAGTGCCCTTCATAACTTAAAATTACTACACCAATCGTTATAAAATTTTCAAAAATTTGTTCTGTACCAAATGTATTCTGCACTTTTAAAGTGTTTTTTTCGTGTGTAAGTTTGTTTACTGCACTCTGATATCAGAGCACTATAAACTATCAATGTTAGCCATTAAGATAAGTGCTTAATAGCAGTACGACAAATGAGATGAGCTTAAGCTTCAAATGTTTTGAAAATACCCTTATCTTATTAAACAAACGTTAAGCATTTATTGCTTTAAGCTTGAATAGTTTATAATACAAACTTTATATTGGAAAAACTTATATAAAAACCGAATATTCCATATCCAACTCTAATATTTAAGATTTTCATTAGAATATTTAAGGTTATAGTTATGGTTCATAAAAACTTATAAAAAATTGTATTTAAGCTTATTTAATTAAACACATCTAATGATTTGATTGTAGAATTTAATTTGAATACCATTTAATCGTAATTAATACCACTGTCCACTGCTTGTTGGCCAAATCAAATGATTCCGCCATTCCTTCCTTGCTTCTTTGGCTTCTTTGACTTGATGATGACCCCCGTCTATTTGTGTATATCCCCTTATAAATATCCCCTCTCCGCCGTTTAAAACATGCGCCATCGCCAGTTCCTCCGGCTACTGTTCAGTAATAATTTCGCTAATTTTATCAGAAGCTTTGAGACTTGTCTCTCTGATTTTTATGGACGCTTTTAAGCATGGGCCTGCGGTTTTGGAACTGAACAATTTGTTGTCGTAATGTGCATTTAATTGGTCTGTGAGAGGTCATTGCCGTAAATTTCCTTCGTGTTGTCTAATTAATAGTGCAAAATTTTAATGGCCAGAAGATGGAATCGGAGTCGGATGCACAGCCGGGGTCCGAGTCCGAGTCATAGTTTTCAGCGGCATTATGGAGTCCGATATCCAGGCAAATGGCCGTCTTGTTTATGGGGCGAAACCAGTTTCAAGGACGCGCCGCTGGCGCAATTCCAAGAACCTCACTTGGCTCATTACCGCATGACGATGATGCGGACTAGATGGAGTGGAGTGCCATCGGATCGGGAACCAGGGATCCAGGGCTCCAGGGATCCAGGGAGTGGGCAGCGAGAACGTGACTCTCTGTCCGCGGGGCTGACGATTGCTAAACTATTTTTTAAACTGTCTTTCAGTCGGACAAGGACAAGGCTAAGCCGATGGCCTTTCAAAAGACCCCTCCCCTCCACCCTCCACCCTCTACCCACTGCACTTATTTTATTTTATTTTAGTTGCCCTCGCTCGGTGTGTTTATTTTTTTCTTAATAAGTAATAACAACATTTTCTCCTCATCCTTTAAGCCCACTCCGTTGGAGGAGCCGGCTGCCCCGCCAATCGCCACCGCATAGTTGTAAAATTCCTGTAAACAAGCCGGGCTGCCACAGCTGTGGCATGCGGCATGTGGCAACTGCAACTGGCAACACACACATACACACACTCACAGAAACACTCCAACGCACACTGATTCAGATGATCCCGCCAACAATTGCGGCAATGCATTTGCTCCACGGGTTTCCACAGAAATTAGCAGAATTGTGGAGAAGCTGGAGCTGGGTGAACTTTTTTTTAGCTCGCAGCACAATTTTTTTTAGAAAAATGTTAAAATTATTGTTATAACACTTTTATTTTCCAAGACAGTTTTTAAAGTTTTTGATAAAATAAGTTTCCGCAATCTTGATGTTAAGAAAACATTCTCACGGTTTAGTGAGCGAACAAAAATTTTAAATGTTTTTACAAACAAAAATTTAAATCAAACCATTTTAATATCGCAAACTAAAATTTGTTTAACAAAAAAATACAGAAAACCAATTTTTATTTTGAAAATATATTTTGTATATTTTTGTACATTCCTTAAACATTTGAAATTTAAATTTAAAAGAAATAATAATTTTTTTGTAGGTTCAAGAACTATTTGAACACCCCACTTGGTGGCTTTATCACGGGGCAGCGCAAGAGTTGTTACCTTTTGTTGCCACAAACTTTTTGAGTTATTTTTTCTGTGCATGCCTTACATATAGCTGCACACGTATATATTTATATATATATTTTTTCGATATGGCCTATCTACCGAGCGCCTACATGGCCCAGTGTGAGTGCGAGTGCGAGTGAGTGTGTCTACTACTGGCAAGTCCGCATTCTTTTAAAGGTTGCCAAGTTGGCCAGGCCGAAACCAAGACACAGTCGGAGTCGGAGTCGGAGTCGAAGTTTTGGGCCCCAGACGGAGCGGACCAGTTCGAACGAAACCTAAACCAAAACCGAAAACCAAAAACCAAAAACATTTGCCCAGCGGCTGCCTTGAATGGTGCGTCAGTGACTTTGGCGCATGCGTTCAGTTTTCAGTTTTCATTTTCGTTTTAATTTGCTGCCAAGAAGGCAGCCCAAAAAAAACGCAGACTCTTGTCTGATTTGTCAGAACTTTAAGCACTTTTCGGGCGCCAATTAAAACTTTAACTGCTCTCCGCACTCCGAAATCAAAACAGAATTGCGACTAGAAGCGAGCCAGCCACCAGAAACCGGCAATTTTCTGTTGTGCACTGAAAAGTGGCTGACCTTCAGGTGGCACCTGTTTGCCCAGTGCAAGAAGATTATCGGAAACAGCCAGCCAGTGGTCGCTGTTCCAGCTAATTAAGCATATCAATATGATTATCCCCAAGTGTGGCTTCTGCTGTGACTCATCCGCTGGTGGAAAACGCGGACTGGAATGTTGCCGGCGTTGATGCCGCATCGCATGGCTATAAATAGTTAACCTAATCAAAATGCAGGCGTGTAAGCAAACCATTTGCATAGTTGTTGATGTGGATGTTGCTCTTGTCGTTGTTATGCTGTTGCTGCCGTTGCTGTTGCTGTTGCTGTTGCCGTTGCTGTTGCATGTTGCTCGTTGGCAATTAACTTTGGCATGCGCAGACATTGGTCTAAATGTCAAGGTAAATTATGATGCATTCAGCTATTACGTCTAATAGTCCGAAATTCATGCACGTGTGCAACTATTTTTAGTTGTTGCTGTTGCCATTGCTGCTGCCATTGCTGTTGCCATTGCTGTTGCTCTTGCTCTTGCTCTTGCCGGCAATGACAGATCACTAAAACCTGCTGCAACTCCACCTCCTCGCTCTGTTGCTGTTGCTGTTGTTGTTGCAGTTGTTTGATGCATGTCTTTGGCTGCGCCCTTTTCTACGCTAATTAAGCTGCGTCTTGGACACAGTCTCAGTCGAAGTCTCAGTCTCAGTCTCAGTCTCAGTCTCAGGCCCAGTATCAGTCCCACTCCCAGTTCCAGAGCTTTATCTGCAAGGCCTCTACGATTGCCATCTGAAAAGATGAAGATGACCAGGTGGGGAGGGGATGAGCCCGCGGCGATTGCAACATTTAATCATCACATTGCTGCAAAAATCGTATCATTAGCGTTTTTACGATTACGCGCTTTATTAAAAAAGATGCGGCTGCAGCAATAGTTGCCGATTACAGTGTGTGAGGCACCATGGTTGACATTGGGCAAAAAATTGTAACAAAATCATTGTTTTGTTTCAAAATACCTTCTCAAAATTATATTTCTATGATCTCATGAAAAAATCATCTTAGATTGCTATGGGAATTCTCAGCCTTTAATTTAATTAATTACAATAAGTATTTAAAATTTTTTTTCCT